GTTCAAATTAAAAGGTATAGAATATTCACCATAAGGCGTTGTTAGACAACAGTCTGTAAAAATACTATTTCTGCAGTGCCGCTCTCACAAAGAAGTGTTAGCAGCTAACTGGCTACATCGACATGGCGAACAAATGCGCATTTATAGCCGGACGTGCACTAGCACAAACGAAAAGGAATACCAATTAAAGCCGCAAGCGGCGATGGAAGGCCTCGCCCCTCTTGCGACCGCCTCCTGGGCGCCGGTCCCACAAGCGTCACGCCGACGAATTGGCAGCCCGATCTGACCAGGATTACGTATATAAAAGCTCATTTATATGATAAAGTGCGTCCTTAGTGGTCACCTCCGGGACATGCACCCTCTACGTAGAGTAGTATATACAATAACAATTGTAAACCGCTTTGAGACTCCGATGTGCAGTGAAAAGGCGGTATATAAATAAAGATTACTACTTACTACTACTACTATTTTGCTCGTGCAGATGTAAAGATTTGATTTAGCAACTTTGGTGAAGATCGGAAAAGTTTAGGTCAGAAGCCTTCCATAGGTGGCGCTGTAGAGTCATATTAGGTGTGTGTTTTCACACCATTACTCTCAGGCCATTACCAACTGTTAGCGATGTGAGTTTCAGCTCTGTAGGTCTGAGCCTGTGGTCAGGAGCGCATCAAACATGGAGAAATTCCCCGCTACCTCGCATGAAAACGATAACAAAATTCTAACTTTTATGCGATGATTGCATAACTTCAATCCGTCCAGATGGAGAAATGACATGGTAGAAGTCTGTGCGATGAAAATCCAGGGACTAGTACGAAGCCAAAAATGAGACACATTGAACTGCCTGTAGGTGGCGCTGTTGCACTCACAGTTGTGTGTTGCATATCGTTGTGTTCAGGGTCATACGCTGTATTTCTGAATTCATTTTTAGCCTCATCGGACAAAGATTTTGCCCCAAAAAGCTCATTTATTCACTTTACGTCGCCCCCAGTGGTCAGGTGTGGGACGTACAACTTTTGCGTAATGTAATGTTTTGCTCGTCTTGGTCCAGAGAATACACTCAGCGATTTTCGGGCCGATCCGAGCACTAGTGCCCTATTACTTTCCGACAGGTGGCGCTGAAGAGCTCAAATTGGGCGAATGATTTTAGTGTCATTGCGTTCAGGCCATAACCTAATATTACTCATGTGAGTCTCAGCTCTGTAGGTCTGAGCCTGTGGCTCTCAGGGCTCAGCGAAAATGGCCAAAACAAAGGCCTTATTCGCCATGGCGAGGGACAAAAACGGTGAAGATTTTCTAACTTTTTTTTGATGATTATATAACTTCAATCCGTCCAGATTAGGAAATGACGTGGTAGAACTCTGTGTGATGAAAAACCAGGGACTAGTTCGAATTTATAAATGAAAAGTCAAATTAGTGGCGAAACTTCGGCCCATCATGGCCGACTTCCTGTTGGTCCCAGACTGTGCTTAGAACGGCTTTTATGCTCGTCTCATAGAGATCTATCACTCATCCGAATTTCGTGTACCTACTCAAATTTGAAAAAAAATCCCCAGAGGGTCAAAAAAAATGAAATTTCTAGGGGGCGTTATAGAGTCGGCGAGCGTCGGACAATCTGGAAACGTTCATTTTATCAAATGTTTCGCCGAACCGGTCGTTTTAGACCCCCCATGTGCAGACTTTCCTGCATGTCTTCAGGGTCAAAAATCGAATTGAAGTTGCGGAAAAAAATAATAAGTATTATAATATGAAACCGGAGAATAACAATAGGCCTCCCCAATACTTCGTATTGGCTCGGCCTAATTATAGACATACGCTGCATTTTTAGTTCCTAATTAACAGTGTCAAAGTCCATAAATAAAAAGCCTATTCCTGGTGGACCAATAAAAATTTAAAACAAGGTTGGAGATGGAGGGATTTAATATAAGGAAAAATAAGCATAGCCTGTAGCAAGATACTCAAACCTATGCGTGTCAGAACAAGACCAGCGAGGAGGAAGTGAAAGAACATAACAAGAAACTAGGGGACCAAGAGTAGTGTTAAAGAAAAAAAGTGAGGGGGAGGGGGGCAAGCAGACGACTGCTCATTTTCAGATCATTGAGTGACCCAATGTTAAAATACAGGTGAAAAGAAAAACATTTCAGGTGGAATTTGTTTCTTTTTTATACTTTATTTTATAGTAATACTATTTTCAGGAATACTGAATTGAGGCCAAGGTATATTGGTCAATCCTGGTGTTAAACTGTGTGAAGTAAAAGTAAAATAGCGTGTGCAATTTTAGTGGTTTAATTATATATCTGCATGGGCATAGATCCAATGTTCATTGCACAAACACACACATGTGATAAACATACCCCGTAATGCAGCGCAACTTCACCCAGACTTGACCCTGTGCGGCCCCCAGATGAATAACATTGGACTCTCCAACCGTTCATTTGGAAAGTCAGATTTTTTTTTTTGAGCCTTGCTACACTGTATGGGGAGTTCTGTTGTGGCACACTATCTGTGCACCGGAAAAGTATATTGAGGAACAAAGTATGTAAATATGTCATGGTGACAGTTGTCAGAGGAGTCAAGGGGGAGTAAGTGATTATTACCCAAACTTGCATGAATCACTAAGAAAACAACGTACGTATGACAGTGTATATTACAAGAGAGAACAAACAATGAAGTGTGTTTATTTAAGGACAGCGTGTGGTTACATAAAAAAGATGGCTACATCAGATTTAGCATCATTCTATTTTCCATCCGTAGTTGCCGCCACGGCGCCACCTTCCGGCGCCAATGTGGCAAACTACAACATGTTGTGAAAAGTCTATTTTGCAAGTTATATCCTCTGCATTGATATTGATCAGAAGAAACTATATTTCATAACAGACACAAAGGCTTTAAGACTGATTGCAAAACAAACCCAAAGGTTTTATAGGTTTACCATGTTCCACAGAGTATGGAGAGACCTATACACTAAGGTACACAGCCACGTTGACATGTCAATCATTCATGGCATCAGTATGCCAGTGACAATCCCTGGTTATCTAATGAGAGGTGGAGTGACAAGCACTTCCAACGTGAATTCAAATATACTGCACAGTACACGTTCATCAAGAACAGTTTGAGATACACTGGCTCCAACCAGAAAACGTGATTCTCAATTGGATTTTGGACAAAGCACCTTGTAAATCATCTTGGATCTGGACGGTGTTGGAATATAAATCATATCCAACCAGTAGGCAACATGTTATATCGGTTTGAAAACGTGAGAAAATGTGCAAATGTTTAAGTGCATTAGTACTTTTTGAGAGGCACTAAATAAAAACCATAGGTCTATGAGCCAAATTTGCATACGTGTGTTTCTGAGAATAGTAGATGTTTTATACAATGCACTCATATTTTGCAGACTGTATTTTTGTGTAAGAGAATCGGCAATAGTATACCCCAAAAATGATTTTCAAGCACATTGCAAATATGCAGCATCTAATGATTATGAGGCCAGGGGGCTGCAGCTGTGTCATACAACACAAACTATGCAGACACGTATGGTTGTCATCTGAGGAAGATCGACACAGAAAGCCTTTCACATCCCTCCGTAAAAGGAAAGCCATCAGATCTATGCAGCACCAATACCCAGCTTCCCTTTGTGGGTTATTATCTCACTCAACACAAAACCACTAGGGCCCAGAGGCTGGGTGTCAAAGTGCTGCAAAGAACAGAACTTAAAACATGAACGCAACCACAGCTGAGAAGTCATAGAAATACACACAATGACAAAGTATTGGAAGGATGGTCTTCTGTTATGTTCTCACTTTTTCAGGACTGCAATTATAAGCAAATGAAGGATGTCTAGGAGAATACAGTAGGCTGAGATTAAATAGGTATATTTACTGCTTTTACGGCTGTGCTCAAAAGTGACTTCAGCCAAATTATGATCAAAATGTATTTAACTGAGATAACTGTTGTGAATGACTCAACCCAACATTTTCTATTGAAAAATGGTGTGTGCACCGACAGACACCACTTGAAGACGCAAAAATCTTGAAATGCATCGACTGTCAATTGCAGTCACTTTGACATTCACATGTAAACATGTGATGGACGTGTGAAGGACTGAGGCGGTGTGATTCTCCGTGGCCTAAAGTGTGCTACACTGGTGCTAGCTAACTCTGAGCACACCCATCGAAGTGCCACGCCATATGTATTGTTTACATAGCCCGGTTGCTTCTGCGAATTCGGGAAAAGCACATCAGGGTCAAACAACCCGCAACTAAAACTATAATTTCCCTGAACGAGTTTGTGAACACTGTATTGTTTCCATTATAGTCATCGATGCAGAACCAGACGCTTTGTCATAGCTGTGAAAGAGTGCCACGCTAGTGCAGCTAGCTTCCATTAGCTAGGCAGGCATAGGATTCACTAAATCAGTTTCACAACTGAGTTGGCTAGCTCTCACTGCTAGCTTCCTAAACGTCGCTTTCAATCGGTTGAGTGGAAAATAAAACCAACGTTGGATACAAATGGTCCTTATAAAATGATTCAAACAGAAGAAAAGCTCTACTGTAAAAGTAGTAAAATTACGCGTGCCACATGCATGTCTGAACCAAACCAGCCCAACAAAGTTGTAAATCTATGCACAATGATACCGAATAGAATTTGAAATGTAAAACTGAATAACAGGCGTGTGAGCCAACATGCACAGATGATAAACTGAGATGTATTATTGGCATTTGTCACACACGCGTGTCCTCCAACTCTCAACATTAGCGCTGCAGCTAAACTGCCTCGTTACTAGTCTGGTTCTTGTCTTCTTCACGGCCGATTATAAATTAGGATCACACCCCAAACAACCAATTGTTCTTCTATTTATTACAGTGGCTAATCCACCACGTAATGGCACCCCATGCACTCAGTCCTGTGTGTGGCAGGAAAGTATTGAAAACCACAAACAGAACTAAGCATAATCACCATCAGCGCAGCTCCCAGGGGCCACACACCGAGCTGTGAGTTCAGATATGGGCTTACCGGTCTTGAAGAGGGCCGCTGAGTCACTAGCGTCCTTCGAGGTTTCGTCTGCTCCTTCCCCAGAGCTCATGGCTGCTTTCGCCCAAATCCAAGAGCTCAGTGTGTCCCAAGTAGACGTGCCCCAAAATAAAAAATAGATGGGACAAAATCACTTCCCCCTGACCAAAGAGCCATCCAAACCAAAGGCTTGGTGTCGGCAAGTGGAAGAGGTTAACTGTGCCATCCATAAACTCTGTTATTAACAGACATCGCCAGTAAAACTCCCATCCCGGAGCTCCGGAGCACCGCCGGGTTGTTCTGCCTGGGAGTAAAACCGAGGGGGAGTCGCTGTAGTGGCGGAGGTGGGGCCTCGTCAGTCTCCGTGAGATTTCGGAAAAGAGAAGAGTCGACGACGGGTCATCAAGCGTCTGCGGTCATGTGTGCGTGAACAACAAAATAAACTTCATTTCAACAACGGATGGGTGTTGCCAAAAAAAAAGCGATTCATCCTCCAAGCGATTCCAGCATGGTATTCTTTTATTATTATTATTATTATTATTATTATTATTAAAATTGTGTCTCAAAGAAAATTACATCAAATTAACAAAACCAAACATTTTTGTTTTTAAAACTATTTATTAAGATCCCACAAATCGGTTATTATAACCGTTATTATAATAGATCCATGGTTATGATTAGTTCCGTCTGTGCGTTTGTACGTCAATGACTCCATCTGCTGGTGGTAATTGGAAGTATGGCCGAATATTATGTACCGTAGTCCAATTTTTTTTAAATTTGTTTTCTCAAGTGAACTGCATTTATCCTTTCCTTATTAATCGCCTTAATTTAATGATTATATACATATTGTGAGTAACACAAGGCAGGTGGATTTGTCATTATAACTGTAGTCAGATGGTCACATATTACACTGTATCCTAATTCAAAGGGCGTAGAATAGATTGAAACTTGGTACTGTTTTTTTTTTAACATATATAGAAATAATTGTATATACTTCGCTTTATGATGTCAATAAAGAATGTTGGAATGTCTGTGTCACTTGTAAAACCCAGTAGAGGGTGCAAGTACTCTATTGACCGAACTTCTTATTTGTATCAATAATTGATATACGTCAACAATTAAATAATGTATTCAATTTGAATGACGGGAAGGCAAGTAGAGAAGAACAAGCTGCAGTTATTTTACTTTTTTTTTTCAATAATTGAAGAACTGACCCTTTGTCCTCGGTTGCTTAACCAACAGTGACCCTTCCAAGCTGTGTACGTTAACAGCAAGACATTTTTATTTTATTTTTTTCTAAATCAAGCAAAGCAAATGTAACGTCTATAATGGGCAATGATAAATGAAAATTATTAAATCTTACAAACATTTTTACGATATAAAGTTTTATTCATGATATTAAATGTCAGTCTGAAGGACAAACGAAGTCAGTTTGGACGCTTATCACACACTATTCTTAACACCTTTGTGATACAAGACAAAGCTAATTTTAGCCTGGTCTCGTACATGTAGGGAATAAATAATTGACCGGAGTTTATGTTTGGCGAAGGCCAGGCCAACATAATTTAGGATTCACTAAAAGTACATGAACGCAGCAAACAGAGCAGATCGTATCCTAGCAACTACTGACGCCTCACGCGGAAGTCCCACTGCAGACAGTGCATGTCTATTTGCTTTATTTGATACTATCAAGAACATAGACATGGATGTCGAGCGAGAGGCTGGACACAGACCGCTCCACACACTGTCTGCGTTTAGCTACATCCCGCAAAGGCGAACAGAACCGAAGGAAATGACTTATTTTAACCGAGAATCAAAGGTATCAACATCTACACATTTACTTTGCGAATAGGTGTGAGGTCATGTAGCTAGTTATGAAACAAACTTTTTTGAGAACATTATAAGGATAAATAACTTGTAACCAGTGATGCAACGCTGACGTTCCCCCACTATGGGCTGAATAAAGGATATTGTAATCGAATCGTAATCTTAATCTTGAACGAAAACTCTTACTATTTTCCCTCTAGGCTCCAGATATCAACATGTTTGACAGGGTGCACAACCAGACTGAGGGACTAAACAAGAAATTACATCGGGATGACAGAAGGCACTGGAAGGGAAGAGGGCTGGACATATACAATGAGGTATAACGTTGCATTTAAAGTAACACAAAGAAAAAAGGGAAAAATATAAACTACTGACAATAGACTTTTGATTAAAGGTGGTGTGCTGAAGGTTCCAATGGGATTTCGGAATTGGGTTTAGTCACTGACACCACGTTTGTAATGTGAAAACTGTATCAATACAGGTACAAAGACAAAAGTCCAGCAATGGAAGACAATGTTAATGGCGGATACATTGTGTAAAACGTCTGTGTGCTTTAACCACATGGTTCTCTCATCCTACTTGGTACTATCGATTCATGTATGTTTGAGTCATTCTGCATTTACGATGACTGCAGAGGAAATATATACTTTCACGGACCACTGATATTAAAAAGGCTGATATTAAAATGGGATAGAGGCCAAAACAACTACTGAAAAGACAAACATTTAGTTTTGAGAGTTTAGAACTAAGATAGGATTTGATTACATTCATTTGTTGTGGTATCAAAGTTAGGTACTCCAGCTATAATGACTAAATAATTTATCTCAGTGATACAGCACTTTTTCCAATAAGTTGTAAAGAGACAGTTTGTTTTCCTTCTCATCTGGTGTGAATTTCATCCAGTGGCGCTCAGGAGGGCATGGCTCGGATTGCAATTACAGTCCATTGAGTGATATATTGACTGTGGTCAAACACTCTTAGAGATGAGAAGAGATTAAGGGCACTTTCGGATTCGCTTTGAACAAATATGCTTAATTTATAGACATTTGAAACAACCAAATCAAGTGCACACTGTAGTCACATGAGCCAGTTCACGTCTTTTGAAATGGATCTGTGACTTTATGAGAACTGTTAATTGGTCCAGTTAAAGCAAACTCTGGTTCACATGGGCCTAAATGTGGCCCAAAGCACTGACTTGGATTGATATTTATCCTAAACTTTCAGATTGGAACTCTCAAAATAACTATGAAACAGACTCATGACTCGGGATTTGTCTTTTTAAAGCAGTAATGGTTTTAAGCATCAAAACATATCCAAATAAATAACATTACATTGGATTTTGTATTATTTTGTTCTAATTGATATTATTTAACTCAAATGATAATGTTTGTATCAATATTTTAGCATGGATATTTTGTAGTAATTGTTGATAATATTCTGGAAATCACCTTGTGACCCCTGCTTAGTATCCCCTGACCCCCATTTTGGGAACCACTCGATCCGTGCAAAACAAAGTCATTCCTGCAACTGGAACATATTTACTTATTGTTTGCAAAAAGTACTGCACTTAGGTACTTAAGAGTGCAAAAGTCTAGAAATAATTCCCTTACTAAAGTAGAAGTTTGAGTTTTGTATAAAAAAACATTTTTGTTGCATAATTAGTGGACAATGTTTGCAACATTTAAGATGTACATGTTTCTTACTGACACAGAATATTACAAACAAAATATGTAATTAAACCACTTCATACCTGATGTTTATGTCATTGTCTGCAAAGTAACTTTAAAATGTATTATGAGTAGGAGTATGAGTATAAAGAGGTATTTTGGGTTTAAACATTAGGAGTAAAAGTAAAAAGCTGTCAGAAAAAAAGTAGCCAAGTACTTAACTCAAAATACAGTACTTACGTAGAAATACTTGTCACCTCTCACAGCGACATTGCAGGAGTTCCATTGGGGAATGATTTTACCCATAGTCTGAATTAGTAAAGTGTGTTTATGTCATATTTTTAAGTTGTTGGAAATTGTGTCTGCAGGAGAAGGCTCGAGTGGTGCCAGTGCGCGCCTCGTCCGAATATGGTCATCGAGTTTCCTGTGTGCACAACAGTCGCCCGCAGCACGGTCGTGTGGCGCGCATGCAGACCGAGTTCTACATGAAGAATGGAATCATCTGGGATCAGAGAGAAGGCTGTGCATCTGTCACCCCCTTTAAAGAAGTGTTAAAATAATGTTTCAATAAATAATAAATACCATGTGTATTTATCCACTCGGGGTGCATACTAAATGTTTATCTTGTCCCATAAAAGTTAGAATCCCCACACGGTATGTACAATGTACAGTATTCTCACGTGAAGTCATGGGGCTGGGATATTTGGTCAACTTCCCCTTAAGGGCCAATGTATCTAATTTTTATAATTGCATTTCTTGTGTTTGATTCTCTGATCTGTGTTGGCAAATCAACAGTTTTGTAAAGTCTATCTGAGATAACTACTGTTGTGTTGATTTAGGGTTACAAAAAATGAATTGAATTTTATGACCATTTTGGTATTTTGAAAGTTAGGTACACTAGCTTTTTGTGACTGCAGTGAAGTGAACACTTTGATAGCCCTATGGCAGTTATACTTTTTTTTTTTTAACAGAACAGAATTCAAATGAACAGAGCACAAACTCCAAGAACTTTAAATACAAATGTTTAATGGATAACAAAAGAACGGCAGTGAGCATCATATACACAAGTTTTGTTCCTTATGCTAAATATATATATATATAGATATATATTATAATAAATGCATATATAGATATATTTATCTATACATATTAAAAAAAAACATTTACTTAAGTTTCTTCAAGAGAACACCCTGTATTTCAGTTAAAGACAAATGCAAATTAAAGCTGTTAATACTATTTTGCATGTTTTGGCATCTATTGTCTGGCGTGGGCTGCGTTATACAACAACGATCTAAGTCTAACATCCATTTCCAGCTCACTGTCTCCAGCCGGGCAGATATAAAAGCTCTCCACAGGCAACTCAGTCTACTACAGGCTCTGAAGCACAATACTGGCATGGCTAATTAGCTCTGCACCACTACTACTATTGTACACATGGGTGAACGCGACCCACAAGACTGCACCGATTCAGCGAACTTCTGTAATTAGTCAGGCGCTCCTTCAGCCAAACCCTCGTCCCACTCGATATTAGTGACCCTGTCCGAGGAGTTGCCGTGCTTAAGACAGAAGTGCTTGTCCATCGTCTTGGCTTCTTGTAATAGACTTTTTAGTCACAAACAAACAGCCACTTGAATTGTCTGTTCTCTGCTATTGGCTCAGTTGAAAACGGCTCATTCAAGGCATCACAGTCCCTTGTGACAGAGATCGGGTCATCTCTGTGTGGACAAAATAGGTCGTCAGGTCCCCCTTGCCTTTGACATTGATGACGCCCCGACATGAACAGATGTATCCTAGATTTGAGAGGATTCGTCTGGTCTCCTCCGTCACCTAAGAGGAAGATAGAATGTGCAGCAGTATTAGTAGGAGTAAATCAACAAACCATAACCATCACAAACACACACCCATTCACCATGAACAACTGTACAGGTGTTAGGGTTAGGGTTTTTAGTGGTAGGGGAAACCGGAGCACCCAAAGGAAACATGCCCTGTTGTCTGTGCCACTGCACCATTGTGCCACCATGCGTATTAAATCTGGGGAATTAAACTTATTTTCCTCATAAATAATACATTTTTTTTTGTCTCAACACAAATTCTCGTACAAGTAAAACTGTAGGAACAAATTGGACCACACAATGTTGAGTTCATCTTATGAGAAAACGTTATATTTTGCATACTTGTAAGAAACGAGAGACCTAGGAGTCGCTAAATGACACTTAGGGCTGAGAGAGAGGGTGGTCTTCTCTTTTTCTCTTTTATGTCTGAAAAATGCAAATGAAGAGTGATAGAACCAAGCTGTTTATAGAGAGAGCAACTTGTGGAGTGTCCTATCACATTTGTATTTGGTTTAAAAGTGAGGTTCCCCAGCTTTAATTATTTTAGCAATACCTCACCTGTATTTTCCCCAAAACTCCAGTAGTTTCCATGCGGCTTGCCACATTTACACTGTTTCCCCATATATCATACTGAGGCTTCTGGGCACCGATGACCCCAGCGATCACAGGACCATGGTTTATTCCTAAATTAGAAAGAATGTTACTTTAAACCACCACTTGTGGCTTGTGCAAAGATAATGCATGTACAGCTCTCACCTATTCGAAGTCTGAAGTCGTTAAAGGAATGTTTGTTAATGAAGTCCAGCTTCCCAATTAGAGCAAAGGCAAACTCCACCATTGTGCCTATGTGCATGTATTGTCTGTCATCCTATAAAATAATACATATATGTGATTTTACAAAAAGCTTCTGGTTTATAAATGTTCAAAAGAAACAGAAAGCATAACATATGGTTGAAATTAATTTTGAATTGGGGGCAATAGAATCCAGTTCTAACAATCGATACTTGATTGAAATTGATCATAAGCATCAAAAGCAGCAAAACAGGCCAAATGTATTTGAATGTAGTCAACTGCTTATGCCCCACTTTGGGAACCACTGGTATAGCTACTTACTTTTTCAGTGATTTTCCAAAAGTACAATGAACATAGAGAGGTGACGAGAGGAATCCTTTATACATGCCAGTAATAATGAAGCATGAAATGTGTGTTTTTGCATACAGCCCCAAATGTACTGCTATTGCCAGAAATTGGTCCAAATCGCTTCCCTCTCCTGTGTGACACCACTGGGCCAATGCACCTGTCCACACATGCAGCTCTGCCACTGCTCTCACTAAAGCCCTCGCCATCTTTTCTCATTTCAGTGACTAAAATGTCAATTATGGAAAAAGCCACACTGGTATGATGAGGTCTATGTGACCACCAATGCTTGTGTGTGAAATAAATAAGTCAACGTGTGAAAAGGAAATGTCGCCGTAGGTTTTTATGAGTGCTTACCTAATAACAGGCTTCAATTAGTTTCAATCATTGATGAGGTAAGCGGTGTGAAAACTAGACCCCATCTCGCTTTGTACCCATAAATTCGGAATGACAGGACAGAGCCAAACCTGGGAGTGGGGGTCTTTTGAAGCACAAATTGAGTGCGACAGCTTAGCCTGACCAAAGCCTCGTCTCCTACTCTTTCAATCTAAACCACCAAATTACATGGGGACCTCACATGATGAAAGCTTGTAACTATTCAGTGCCTGCCTGTGTGCACTCAGGTCCCAGTGTCACGTTGAGTCCAGTCGCGGCCATGTAAGTGCTGCCGATGGTCTTAATCTTCTCCACTCCACTGAATTTTGGCTTGGACAGCAGCTGCAGGGGGACGCAAGGTTATCGCAAATCTTGCACATAGTTTCCACATATTTTTTCAAATTTTTTTTACATATTGGCCAGCAGGCCTACCTCATCAAAGTCAGCTATGATCTCGTTGAGGAGACGGAGACACTCCAGTCCTTCTTTATTGACGTCGGACTCTGTGTAAAATTCTTTGAAGTCGGGAATGGAGGCGAACATCACACACACCGAGTCGTAAGACTGATGGTACAGGTCCTAAAACAGGAACATACAACACAATATACAAGAGTAACGTAGAGAGCAAGTATGTACAGTATGTGTAGCGCAGCAACAGGAGCAATTACAAAATAAGAATCTTGTTAACGACGTAGTATGCCTCTTGACGTTCAATAATTTGCACAGCTCATGTGAACGTAAACCAATGTCTTAATGGATCTAGGAATTTTGTACCTTTCAAGTGTCTGATTTTGTAATCGGCTATTGGCAAACTTTTGAGACGACTGCTGTAGTGATTTTGGGCGGTACAAAAATAAATAATTTGGATATTGAAACAGGTTATTTGTGACAGTTTGTACAACGCATCATTTAAATGGTGCTGACAAGTACTTGGGAAAGAAGAAAATGTAGATTTATTTAAAAAAATCTACTTCAATAAATAAATATCAAGGAAATACTTTAGGATCAGAAAACACACATTTTCAGATTATTCCACATGTGATCCCTTCTCTCCAAGTGCACAGCTGATTCTATTTGTATTCAATATTTAACCAGGTAGAGTAATTGAAAACATTCTCATGTACAATTACAATATACTGTATGTAGACTAGATAGGAAATGATTAATAATAATATATCGTTTTTATATAGTGCTTTTCCGGCCATTAAAATACGCTTCACGTCATTATTCTTTGACTCCATACACAGTGGTGATAAACTACTACTGTAGCCACAGCTGCCCTGGGGCACACTGACAGAAGCAAGGCAACCAATATGTGCCATCGGCCCCTCCAACCACCACCAACCATTCACACACACACCAAACTTATTCCAAGCAATGTGGGTGAAGGGTCTTGCCTAAGGACACAACAGCAGTTTGGCACTTTACTGCCACAGCTGCCCCACTGTGGCACCTGGTGTTCCCAGAGGTCTACCATCACAGTACTAACCAGGCTCTCCGCTGCACAGCTATAGAGGTCTAACGGGATCTGGCTTTTGCATGCAAGTAAGTGAAAGCCAAATTATAATCCATCCATCCATTTTCTTCCCCTTAATCCATTTCTGGGTCGGGGAGGTGGCAGTCAGAGTTGCACCCAGTACACATAGCACCAGCCCCTCACTGATCCTCCTGTAGGTGGTGAGTCCACAGGAGCTGAGATCTTTCAAATAATAAATTTGTATTAAATTACAAACTTATAATTATTTTCTAAATCCTTTGAAAGTTGTGGCTGCATTATCTGAGCAATGACACATATATTTAGTGCCATGATCTATGACACTGTAAAAGGTCAATAATCTTCACCTCGTTTTTCCAGTTGCGCCCCAGAAAGTGCTCTGCGACATGTGCAGGTAACACGTTTTCCAGCAGAACTTTGTTGAGATTCTCCATGGTTTCAATCTCCTCACATTCCCTCTTGAACTTGTCTCTCCACAGGAAATCCAGTCGGCTGTAATATTCATTCTGACAAAGAGGACAGTGTCAGAGTCAAAGTTATGTCCAAAGATGAATTCTAACGAATGCTGCTGAAGTTATTGTCATGACACTTAAAAGAGACCTATGGTCTACTTTCAATTTATGAGCGGTACAACATGTAGTGCAATAAGAGGGGGGACTGAATATGAAAGTGCATTTAAAGATGAACAATAGAACTTTAATTGAAGGCCATACTCAGAGTAAAGAGGCAGCACAACTGAAAACTAAAAGCACGGTTTATATTCATAGAAATAAAATGTTCCAGTGAGAGTAGTCAGCCTGTGCTTTCAGTGCTTGGAAACAGTGAATAAATTGAGCTACTTTGCATTAAACATCTATTTTGTACTTGGTTATTCATGCTTACGGGCTTTGAAACACATCTAAATATGCCAAAGGACGAATTTACAGTATCACGGTCAAAACATCCCAAGAACGTGTGCATTTCACAACGGCCCCTGAACACATCATCATCATGCTCAGAATGAGTGCTGCGGGCTACCTGAAGGCGGGCTCATACCTCTTGTGGCTGCGTGGGAGAGGGAGGACCCCCAGTCTAAGTCTATATATCTAGTGTCATGATGATATATGTGTAGAGAGAATACCCGTCTCTTGGGATCAGAGACGGATGCCAATTTAACAGCTCTCAGTGCAGCTTACTTCTTCTGCTCTGCAGTTGATAGCATTCCAGTCCTGAAGATTACACAACAATCTAAATTGTCTGCTGCTTCCTATAGAATGTGAGCTATTTTATGTTTGTAAATATATGAGGGGTGGTTTCTTTACTTTTTGAGACAGGAACTCCTGTGGAGATTGGAAAGTAGGCCAGAAGATAAGGAAGCTCATTCCAGATGCTGTTTAGAAACAACCTAACAAGGCGCCAAATGAGCTCTGCTCCAATGCGCTGCCGTTCTTGAGGGATGAATTACAGATTCTTATAATGTGTGTTCTCCTCCCTCTAACTAAATAACTGTTGATTAGCTTAATTAGTGCTCATGATAGTTCAACAACAAATAGTATGTCTGAAGAAGGCTTGTTATGTTATTATACATATATAAAAGTATGGCACAATAACTGAGCCGTCTTCTTATGATACAATTCAAATCCATTAATGCTGGAAGACAAGCTTTTGAAAACGTGAAATCGTTAGTTTTAGGCAGCAAACTTGTGTTTGCCTCACTTCCAGTGACAGTGACCCAGATTGAGAAGAACACATGGAGCTGTTGGACCAAATGATAGCTCTCTGGAGAGGCACTGCTGTGACGCACTCAGGAAAGAGCTCCAGCTCCAGTCCAGAACATCTGTTTTGGGGTCACAGCTGATGGATGGTACCCCCAAGAAAAGATAAAACATAGAGTTCTATGTAGGCTGAATATAGCTCTGATAACAAACCATGGCAGCTTCTGAGCAGTGCTGGCTGTTCCTACTCAACACCAAAGTCCATGTTCCACCACCAGATTAAGTCAAATCCCCTTTTGTGTGTGCCAAGATTCACTCAGATCTGCTAAATGGAATAACACGGAGTCAAGATGAGAGAAAGCTATAATGAAAAGTACAAACCTGTCTTGCTAATACCAACAGTGTGATGAAAAATATGAAGAGCGACACAGAGCCCATTGTCTTCAGGTCCTTGAGGACCCCAGGTCTACAGACACAAAAGAATTCTATTAAAAAGGGCTATACTCTGTGAGATGAGGTTTGCAATCATAAAGACAACAACTAGAAGTAGCATGGTTTTTGAAAGAAACAACAAAATAGCTTTTTTTGGCTCTGGAGTCGGCAATGTGCCAAAAATAATGTGAGCGGTCAGAACAAAACATTGCAGATGGTGACTGATGCACGGAGAGATCTCTGCTTTTTTTCTTGTAGCAGGTGGGAATCAAAATACAGGACAATTATTGTTTTCCTAATCTATCAAACTATGCGCAATGTGCCGGCAAAAGTTTTGTTTGAGGTGTATTTATGGAAAATCAAAAAGTCTTGCTTTGTAGAAATTAATACCGCTATATATTTTGGGATTGAGACAATAGAAATAACTGGTTTAAAAAACAGGTTAGAAAAGAAAAAGTCTTTTCACATTATGTAAAACATGCTTAGTTTTAAACTGTACAATACAGTTCCTTTGATTTAATGCTAATTAATAACCAAACAATCAAGCAGGCGACTCCTCTTAGGAAATTCAAGTCAGGAAAGTACGGCCCATCAACAGAGACGAAGGGTCCTTTACTTTGGCTCACACATGAGACACAGCGCAGTCAGTCTGACAGATCAGGCTGATCTGTCAGACTGACCGCATCCAGGTTCATAGCATTTTTGCTCTACTTATCTGGATTAGATCAAGAACACAACTAAACTTGTATACAAAAGAAGACATCACAAATGCAGAACAAAATAAAATAGAAGACTTTGTTCCTTCCCTAAAAAAAACTTTGAGTTGAATAGATTATTCTCAGCAATTCCACTCAAGCCGTCAGTCAAACACGGGCTGGCATATCTTCCTCTGCCACTCACCATCCTCCACTCCTGAGGTTACACTTGATCGACAGTCACATAGGAAATAGTCTGCTCAGCATTACGATTTCCCCGTAGACCGAGGGAGCATTCTTAATAGTCATTTTAATGGGCTCCATATCAAGCATCATGCTGACTGCTTCTAGGGCGTGAGCAGAGGGAAGCGGGTTGATAGCTGTGGTTGCAAGCGAGCTGTGTAGAGACAACACTTGCACTTGCCTATCCAGGGTTTCAGTTGGGTACAGCGCCTTGCTGAAGCCGTCCAGCAGCGACGCATGGGTCTGCAGAATGATGATGTTGTAGATCACAAGAGCCACCAGCATCACCAGCATCTTCAGCTCGTAGTTGATTCGCAGGAACACAGAACATGACACCAAGCCCAGGATGCAGCAGTAGATAAAGTACTAAACAAAAGTTGTGCAAACAATAAAAAAAGATTGCATCATTTAAGTAAAACTTTCATGTTAAAAACCCTTGGTAGAAAAAATCTTATTGGAACTAATGGTAGCTATGGGCTTAAGTTGTAAGAAGTTGCCTCCTTATTCATATTTTAGTGGTATTCTTGTTACCAGTCAAAAATGCAACCATTCCAAATAAATGCTGGACCTTCTGTTTGCACCATTCCACAACTGAAAAAGTACTTTTAGCAGAAGAACGTGGATTCTTCCCACCCCTGCTAAGTCAAAGGTCATTCCACAAAAATAGGATCATGTCACGTAATACTGAAATAGTTATGAAACCAAAACCAACAGCATTATGAAATGGAAAGTTAGAAGCTAATCTGAGTAAGAGTTACCCTAAAAATTTATAGATCCTCTTTCTCTATCTTTTAATGGCTAGCAGCGATAATGATGAGTGCAACAGCATGAAAGCTTTGCAATTAATGGGGGGCTTTTGCTTTCTGGATGAGACAGAGAAGCGTCGATATAACATTTGTGGAAAGGCCACGCAGCATAAAATTGACGTGGTGCATGTATGGAGACAGCACTGTGCAGCATCTCCATACATTACACTATTTGTTCAATTTCATGAGCAAAGCAGATGGACAGTATACGTATCTATAACATGAAAGATAATATAGCGTATACTGTGACTATACATAGAGACCAGTGTGAAAGGAAATACAGAGGTGAGCTCAGCAATGTTTGGATGAAGTACAGGAACCAGAATCAGAAGAATCTGATTTTTCGGAAATAAAAGATTTATGTAATGTGCAAGTGCAATGGAATGAGTGAAAGTCTGTACATTGGAACATCATCCTTCTATGTCAAGATATATTTTTTACAGACACTCAATACAACCTCCTCTTAAAACAGAGTGCCTTTTCTTTCTTATTCACATTCGAAACCAGAATATCAATGTTTTTGCTCTTAACTGAACATCACTGATCTCTATAATACACCCAGTTCCTTCTAACTCAAGAGAAAAGACAGTTTCTCGTGGCTGTGTTGTCAAAGCAATAGTGCCTGAAAGTGGCCCTCAAACATTAGCATTAAACAAGATGTCAGAAACTTTAACTGTTTTTCATTTATAAAATAATGTATATTTCTGACCATTGGGACATTGTACTATTATGAATAGTACAAGTACAATAGTAGTAAGTTTTTTCTTTGACACCAACACATTTAAAATAGTCCCTACCATTTGCATAAATACAAGCAATAAGATTTGGCGAAGGAAAATAGTTAGGGGCCTCACAGATTTGAATTCATTTCGACAAATTGGCTGCACGGCTGAAAATGGGCGGGTCTCCAAAAGTTTCACTGTCTCGTTGCAATTTGAAGTGGATTTTAAGGGAGAGTGCAAACATTCCTTATGCATTATCCTCAGTGTAGAGTATGACAGACAATGGTCAATTATAAATTTCTAGGATAATGGAGGGACCCACAATAACAACCAAAAGAAGATACAGAGAAGTTAACTCTTCTTGTCTTCCAACACTCACTGGCAGATAAATCTTGGCTGCTCCTGCGCTTTGGTCTTGATAGAAAATCAGGCTGTCGTTAGTGAGATTCACAGGTGCCACAGTGATTAGCACTTCAGATGGAGTATTCTGCAAAACAGCTGCTGCCCCCCCAGGATCCTCTACAAAGAACTGACAAAAAAAACAATATCTGATGAGAGAAAGAGGCCTCAGATTATGTGCCACCTCCTAAATGTCACGAGCAAGAAGATCTGAAGAAGTGTGACCTCAGAAATAGGGAACAGTCTTTGTATGTGAACAAGAGGACACTGAATAAAGACAGGAAGTCTAGAGTGGACTCCAGTAATCACCATGTGTTCAGTGAGATTTGAAGAATAAAGATTTATTGTGTGTGCAAATACGTAATTTCAGGCCATGTCATCTGCAAACATTAAACAACATGCTCATTGTAAGGTATAGACAGTTTGGGGTAAAATGCCAATCTTTCTGAATTCTCTTTCTTTTCAAACACAGGCTACGACCAGATTAATATCGATCATAAGACTTTTCTCTGCGTCACACTTAATTAGTTCAGTAATTACAAATGTCTATGATAAGCTCAGTATGACGATAGACTGACAACATTAGACGTTATTGTGCTATTGGCTTAGTAAATACCATTCACCTACATATATTGGACCAATAGGCATGTATCTCACCATGTTGAAGACTGACATAATGAGTATAAGAGCAGTGGTCATGATGGTGAGGACCAGTCTCAGCCAGGGGTTATTGGTGACAATGATGCGGGAGGAAAGTGGAATCCAGGAGAGTGTGCAGAAAGAGCCTTTTCCTCCCTGCTGAAGACATCAGAACGAAGGGCTGTAGCAAGTTTATCAATTAATCACAACTAATCAATTATAAAAATAGTTAGTCAACTTTTTAATAATTGTTTAATCACTTGTTGAACCTAACCCCAAAGACTTGAACTGAGAAGAGGTTTCATGACTCAGATTATATGAAGACTGCAAAATAGTTGTGTTTACAAAGTATAATCAAACAATTCAATGTGTAACAAGATATCTATATGAAGAGTTTCTCCAGGGGTATCCCTTGAGCTATGTATATAAAAAAAAATTGCATATTCTCTGACCTATTGGGATCTAACAAACCATTAATCTAAGATAATTGTTAGTTATAGCCTTAGTAAAAAGCAGAACATTCAATATGTTCAAAAGTGTTGACAGAGTACTCTGTGTTCTTCTCACCCTAAGTCAGACTACTAGATCCTAGGGGTAAATAAAAACATCTAAAACAACAGCACTGAGAGTAAAACATGGCCAAATTGCCTTAAAAATATTCTCTGCAGCAGTGTTTTAGTCTTAACAACTGTGGCGACGGTTTCTATTAAGACTTTTTCAAAGAAATATGTTTGATCACAAAAGCCATGTGATGCGCTCCTTCATAGATGAAAAGAGCCCATCCTCTAATAGGCTCATTTAACAAAGTCGAACACACAAAGATGATGTAACATGTCTTTATTTTAGTCAATTGTGGACTCCTACGCCAACAGTGCGCAGACGTTTATTAAGAATATGCAGAGAGCTAATTGGAGGTTAGCACAAAGCCAGAGCAGTCATCTCTGTTCTCATTTAGGATATGAGGCCGGCGTCGGTGTCAGCGCAGATTCCACATTATTGATAGTCGCTGTTAATTGGGAGTGACCCACTTCAAGGATCATAAAAGTCTCGGCAGATCAGACATGTCTTACTTTCTATTGACTATATATACACACAGTAAATGACAGGGAGCTGTTCATAACTGTGAATGCCATATTATGTATATAAATCTACACCTCCTGGCTGGTAAATCAACACCCAAAGTGTAGATTTACAGAATAGAGTCTCATTTTTGCATTGTCCAAAGGCAAAAGCCAGTACTTGATATACCATTTGCAGATGTAGTTTGGACTTTGAGACAAACCACCTGCTTCATTAGATTTGCATTGCATTTACCTGAGGTCCTGGAGCCATGTGCTCTTCAGCCTCTTTGTAAAGGATCAAATTATTTCTGTTCTTACATTATTTCTATAAATTAGGGGCGAAAGGATTCATTGTGGTGCATTATGAATAAGATTCATAAATGCCATTCTAGGTGGCATATCTTGCACACTTGCAATAACATTTCCAACTTATGTATAGTTTCCGTTTGTTGTATTCAATGGTTGGAACGGTTACATTTGTTAAAAAGAGGAAAACTTTAAAAGTGTAATATAAGATGTGTTATACATTTTGCAGCTTTTGACTATTTCTCTATGAAGGGGGGAAATATTGTTTTTAATTAAGAGATACAATTAATCCCCCCATGGCCTCACACCTATAATGCACTATCCATGTGTAATAAATCCTTGCGAAACGTACCAGAATGTGGCCGGCAAAGCACAGGAGCAGGATCAGAGCCAGGAGCAGAAAAGACAGCCCAAAGGAGATTCCCAGCACAGCGGTCCTGCCACAGAAGCACAACCACATTACTCTGCGTCCCATCCAGAGCCATATAATGAGCCTTCAAATTTATTCTCTCTCAGCTCTGAAATCTATGTACATTGACAATCCATTTACTGCATGCATACCAGTGGAGTCGAGACGCCTGTAATGGAGTCCCATTCAATAGAATACACTGGACAAAACGTGAGAGATTTAAGGACACCATAAAACATATGAAGTCACTATTAAACGTGCAGAGTTATGTCGGCGCAGGAAATTAGAAAATCAATGGACTTTGATGCTAAATTACATATTTGCGTCACAAATGCAATAAATTGGTCTAGGTATTTTTCTTTGACGCTGGACCAAGGCAATTAAATTAAAAAAAGTAAAACGCTTTGATTCCTCCTAATCTTTAATCATTGGCTGACATGGTTGGCGCTCTTTCATTACTATCTAGCGTTTTAGCATCCCACCTCCTCCTTCGATTGCGGTGACGCAGGCCGGTGGATGAGACAGCTGGCGTCAAACGAGCTTTCTTTTTTTTTCCTCTTCTACAGACTGCCACAGCTGGAGTCTGGTCAGGCGTCAGGGATTAGGCAGGGCTAACGCTTGGAAGAAAGTCAAACGGACAGACTAACCTGGGCAAGACCAGGACCTGCACCACGAAGATACAGCAGAATATGAGACAGGCACAGGTCACGTAGTACTTGAAGGCCGGCAGCGTCGTGGATCTGTACTGTGGGGAGCGGAGAGTGGGATTTACTATTACTATTCTTTTATAGGGTTGAGCTTCTTTCAGAGCCTGTCCATAATATACACATGGAATTATATGATAAGTACCTAGATACAGGGGATTGAAGTTTAAAAAAATTAAAATAACATGCTAACATGTACAGATGTAAACATACTGCTGCTAATCTACAGATGTAAACATACAATTAAATATTGCTTGCACTAGAATACGCAGTACCTTATACCTGAGATATTATACTTCTTTTTAGTAGATTTTATAGACTTGGTGTCTCTGATTGCACCCTGCCAGATGGTTATGAGAGATTTATACTGTCTGATGTAGTTAGATTTAGTTATAGTAAGTAGTTATTGTTCTTTTATCGTGCTGTGTACTCTTCATTCCTACTTTTCTCAGGCTAAAAAAAGCACAAACCTAGTATTTTAGTTAAATGTGTTTTATTCAAGAGCTATGTTGAAAAAAGAAAACAAAAAGAAAACTAATGCAATACTCTGATGTGATAAATTACACGTGTTACCTCAAAGCCTAATTGGAAGAAGATGTGTTTGATTGTGCCTACCTCTTTCTCCAGCGTTTTATTGTGAAAGAACAATGAGATGCGTTGAATGCCCTCAGACTTGAGCCACTGTCTGCAGATATAAATGAGACACAAACAAAACAAGCTGTGTGGGTATCTGAAATCAATCCCTCATCTCCTCAGTTTATCCCACTGACTGAGGTTCTGGTGGATAAATGAGCAAATCGGCCTTCCCTGTTGCCGATGTCAAGACTGAAAGGTAAAGAGGAGAAAATAGCACGTACTTTTGGGAGTTGATGCCGTCAATGGTTCGGATCATTCGCTCATTAAGTTCCTCCTCGAACCTTCTCCTCTGTGACTTGGACCTGACGTCAAAAAAAGAAAAGCCGGAATGTAATATATACAGATCTTCTTACAAATATGAGTGTCATCAGATGAACCTTTCTCGCCGCTGGAAATGATACTGCCCCATTGGAACGTCCTGTAAAAGAATGGACATGGATTGATGGTAACATAAAACATATAGTAAAACAATAAACAAGTTTTTGTAAAAAGTGTGGTTGCTCTCACGGTGGTCTTGATCTTGCCGTTGTCAGCGGTCATGCTTTCCCTGTGGTGAAGGTTGGCAAAAGGTTTGGCAGCGCCCCAGGACTCCAGGTAACGGGTCATTCTGACAGACGCCCTCATCTTACCCCCATCCAGAGACGGGCGAGCACGGACCCCCAGCCGAGGGCTGTGTTTCTCAGTCTGCAAACAAACATACAGCAACGTGTTTATAAACATACGCCAAAGTGTTGCTACCATTGCCCCGCCGATGTGTGCGTGTGTGTGTGTGGATGTGTATAGGTGTATACATATGTAGGTGTTTGTGTGTTTATGTGATCACCTACGTATGTGTGCATGTGTATGTTGGTGTGTGTGTGCGGATGTGTCTGTGTCTGTAGGCAAAATAGCTAAAAACTAATAGTCGGATTGAGCTGAAGTTTGGGGTGTAGATGGAATGTGTTGATAAGAAGACCCCATTAAAATTGTGGCCTTGTGAGATATGCGCTCTCCGTGTGCATAGTTATCGTTTCAAAATACATGTTGATATATTTGCTGATGAAATTAATGTAAAGCAGTTTTCTTTTGTCTTTATTATTTCTTTGGCCAATAGTCAACACAAAACGACTATGTATAAACAAGAATACATTTGAATAAACTATTAACAGACACAGGGTAATTTCTAAATTAAAACCTCATTAAAAAGGTTTAGTCAGAATGGACAAATATTTTTACTTCTTGCCTTAAACTGAAACTTAGTGACATTTATATATCATCAATCATGACTATAGAATATAGACTATAAGAAAACTGGGAAGTCTGATAAACTGTTTTTTGCTTTTTTAGATTGTGTTTAGTTTATTTCCATTGGACTCCAGATGTTCCTCCACAAACCAATGTGTGTAGGTAGCAATGAAATAACTTTGAACAACAATTCCACAAAAGACACATTCCAATTCCTGTTAGTGGGGGCCGCAGGTGCTTTAAAAGCTGCAGTCTCGTCCGCAGTGCTTGACACCAGTGACCTGAGCACCAGTGTTTGGACCCAATACTTGAGTCAAGGAGCATGCACCTGTGCACTTATTTGAAAATGTGTTCTGAGAGCCTCTCCAGCAAAGAGCCATCACTAGAGCTACAAAAGCACTGACAGAATACCAGTAAAGGGAAGACAATAAAGCAGACATGTCAATCACGCGGCACAGGGGCAAATGGGGAGAGCAACATTCTTACTTGCAGATTTGGTATTCTAAACATTGAAATCAAATGATTTGTTATAGTGTAATACAAAAAAACATACTGCAATACTCTTTACCTTATGTTTTGGTCCAGTCCAAATACAAATGCAACTGTACTTATTTTGATCAGAAACATCTACCAGAAAATAGTAACTATTTGGAGAAAAAAAAGAGCATAAAGTTTAAGTCGTAGAAAATTCTAACTAAAACAATTGGTTGAATGTTGAAGATTGATTTGTCTTCTCAACATTACCTAGAGAGAGAGCCAATCACTAAATATCAATAATAGCCAATACAAAATCATTCATAGTATTAAGAGAGCCAAATTGAAAAAGTTGGGGGGCTGGGTAGAGCCGGGTAGAGCTGACATTGACAATCAATGCCTGTGACAGAGAAGATGACACCTCTTTTAAACATGCATCCTATTTAAAGCTTAATCCACACTGTGTGTGTCTTCAGGACACACGCAGCTGGTACAGAGCACCGAGCAGGATATGGAAATAGGCTCATATTCAAATGTTTCCTTATGGCCCACTGAGATAGATTATAGAGATGCATTTCATTACAGCCTAAGTGCCGTATGTGGTTAATAAAAGAAAGGCCACAATGAATGCCAAGACTCCACAGTAACAGTAATATCAATGTCCAATTACGGTATTCCTCATTACTGAGGTCTCAAACTAAATGTAAATGTGCACTTAATTTAGGTGTCATCTTCTCTGTCACTGACATTGATTGTCAATGTTAGCTCTACCCAGCTCTCCTTTCAATGTGGCTCTCTTAACTCTATGATTGAAACTATATACTGTTTTTTCCAAATATAGTATAGTTATTATTACATTGTCCAATTTTCTGGTAGATGTTCTGAACAAAATGAGTGCAGTTGTATTTGAACTGAAGCAAAACATAAGTATTGCAGGTTGGCCAAATGTATTTTTTTTCATTGCACTATAACTAATTATGCTGCCAGTAAGAATTGATCCCTGCTGTACGAGTTGAATTATTATCTACAGGGAATCCCCCAAAGTAAGAACATGAGAGAAAAAAAAGTCTGTCTATAATTGGTGTGAAATTCTAGAATGAATGGTGAAAGTGTTGGACCTAAATGTAGTGACTTCTTTATTCATGTTTTAACGAATCCTAAAGTGTATTTCTGATGATCAAAATCACATCCTCTTGTTCCAAAAAGTGAATTGGGTTTGGCTGGCTCTAAATTGCCATCTTACGTCATCATTAATTTAGTGTTCTAGAATATGTAATAGAAAAGGCAAAGCTAAGCTTTGTTCCAGTTTTGGTTGAATACAATTCATTTTGTAAAACCATGTAAATAACAAAAGAATGTTGACCACAATAAACCAATCATTGGCTTTACCTCTCGGCCATTTTCACATCCATGTGTTGTAAGCATTACTTTGTTTACCGCCCTTCTAATGATGGCCAAAGTGGGTCACACAAGACCATTATTAATGACCCCCCATTTTAATAATTCTAAATATATAACTGAACTCCCACCACTACCCTACCCTCCTGATTGAAATATTTTGGGAAACCTTGCAATAATACAAAAGATTTGTCTCTACTTCAATCTTGAGCTGCCTCATCTTCCAATCCATCCCTGTAAACTCTTCATTTCTGCTAGTCCCTGTTGGCATTATCACTTGGCCAAATCCCCGTTCAGAGGATGAGCCTTATTTTCTTTCTTACTGTCATTATTACCTCTTTATTTTGATAGTAAGATTTTTTTTTCGATAAGTAGTAGTAAAAACATCTGGATAAGCAATCCAGATGTTTTCTGGTACTCAGGAGTGAAACTATGAATCGCATCTAAAAAATATGTTTTTGCCTTAGCTTAAGATTTGGAAAAGTTCTAAAAAGTACTTTTACTTTTAGTGTCAAATAGGGAGCACAATAGTATAGACTAGAGCAAGGGTCATCAACTATATTTGTCAGGGGGCCAGAGTTTTACCAGACAGTCTATTCGGGGCCGGACCCCCAAAGAGAAAATTAAATCAGATTCAGATTCAATTATTTGCCATTTGCAGTAAAACCACATTGGAAAAAATCCCCAAAAGTCCCCAGTGTGCACAAGACAGGTACATAAATAAAAAAGATTAAAAGTACAGAGATAAAACAGGAAACAATTGACACTGTGAAATCGATCAACTAAAACAGTTTTGAAACAAAGGCAAGATCATATAAAGTGTTGATGATCAGTGGTATAGAGCGTAAAACTATATGAACAAAACCTGAAGAATGTCCTTATCATATGTATTCTAATTAGTGCTGTCCAAAATATCGCGTTATTAACGCGTTAACGCAAATCAATATTAACGGCGTCATTTTTTTTATCGCGCGATTAAAAAAAAAAAAAATGTTATTGCAGACAAACACATATACAGAAAAAGAAAAGAAGACTAGTTCAGATACATTGTAGACAGAGATTACAAACAATATGTAGTTGGAGATACAGGGGGCCAAAGAAGAAACCCAGAAGGGGGGGGGGGGACATGAAGTGGGAGATGGGGGGGAGGGGTTAATAAAAAAGGCAATACAAGCAAACAGTATACAGTCATAGATATACCGAAAGTAAACAGAGAAACAGCATAGAGTATTTACATGAACAAATTTACAAAATATTAAAAAAAGCAATTGCACACCAATTCACTTTTTAGTAGTATTAAAATGATAATTCAAGGGACATAAAGAATAGATACAAATGTGTGACTAATTTGCGATTAATCGCGAGTTAACTATGAAATTCATGCGATTAATCGCGATTAAATATTTTAATCGTTGGACAGCACTAATTCTAATGCAACTCCAGGTTTAGGAAAAAGGACTAGAGAAGACATAAAATACAGTATTTAAGCAAAGGTATAACAGGACCTTGGGGTTGATGACCAGGTAGGTGACCACTCCATGTTCTTTGAGGTATGAGTCACGGCTCTGTCCAGTCCCAGGCTCCACTTTATATGATCCATTCAGATGCTCCAAGGTCACAGACGAGATGTGCACTCTCCTGAGAACAACATACAGATGCACTTTGTATTGTTGCAGTCATTTTGTAGACTGTAGTCTGGACATACACATTGAAATTAGACCTGTTGCTATAGATATAAATAATACAAAAGTCCTCAGCGTGTAGGGGTGCAACGGTTTGAAAAAAATTACGGTTCGGATCGTCCTCGGTTCAGAGGCCACGGTTCGGTTCATTTTTCCAAAACAAAAGTTTTGTCTTTTTAATAAACACGGCTCATGTGGACTCGGCACCTGCTCTGACTACCCCTAGAAATGGATTATGGGGAAGGAAATGGATGGCATATTCCATCCATCCATCCAATTATATCTTTTTAACATAAATAATAAAAAACAACACAAAGTGCAACATAAGAAGGCACTTTATGAGGGTATTAACCCTCATATATTAAACCACCTTCCTGATTCTCCCGAGGAGGCGGTCCATTCTGGGCCCAGTCCAGCCTCATTCACTGCATTTATTTAATTTTTGGCATTATCAATTGTGACTGGGATATTAGTACTGGGCCTTTGTCTTCCATTCCTCCGCTGCTTGTGTCAGTGCCAGCGTTGTGTGCCTGTGACTTTGTTAGAGGGGGCGTGTCTGCAGCATCTGACTTTTCATCTCCCAGTCTGCTGTGAGGAAGTGAGCGGCTATCGTAACATAGCTCTCCGTTCCGCTCATGGATCTATTATAGGGTCCAAGCGTCAGTCGTGAGCGCAACTGAGGATGCGCGGGAGAGTTGACTTTAGTCCGGTCTGACTGCATAAAGGGGCTGCTTAAATACCGCGGCAATAAGCGGTGGTTGAGACGCTTTTTTTTCACTCATGTCTTGTGCCACAGTGTTTACACATCGTGACAATTTTGTCGACTATTTAATCATCAGTATAGTTACAGTGAAGCCAAAATTCTCTCATACTGGGGATTTAAATGACGCGGGCTTCTCCGTTCCTCTGCTCGCCATGATTACGCTGTGTGTGGACTGAACAACATGCGCACTTTTTTTTCATAAATCACACCACGGATCACGTCTATACCGAACCGAAGACGTTGATCTGAACGGATCACGGATCAGTGATGAACCGTTGCACCTCTATCAGCATGTAGTAGCAGATATTGATGCTGAAAATCTGGAACTGATGCTGTCTGACTCTGCTTTCAAAATGTTTTTCATGAGGTCTGGATGTTCATCTCTTCAAATCGAGATATATGTCCTTCATTTGTTAGCAACAAGATTGATTGAAGGTATGGACACCTTTGTTGTTGAGCTGTGCGAGTGCAAACAGAGCTCACCCTGACTAACAATTTGACAGGTTGCACATTTGTCCACTGATGTCTGCTGTCATTGTGTCCTTGGGCCAGACACTTTAACTCCACTATGCCTGAAACCCCCGCTGAAAGATCAAGGCTGTGCTCTCACCGACAGATCAGCCATCCTCCTTTGGACTCACCCCCTACAGGAGGATCAGTGAGCTGATTGCAAACCCCCCCCCCCCCCCCCCCCAACTCAGTAATTGACAAAGGAGAATGTATGGATGGTTGCAGATTACCCAACTAGCTAGAACCGAACAGGTAAACATGAGTATACTGCTATGCAATAAATATATAAATAAATATTGAACTTCAGACTAAAAACAAAAGTATTAGACCCATCCGTTGATGTTTGACACTATGAACTTCCAGAACGTTTGCAATTTACTACACAATACTGCCTATAGTTCATTTAGTTTAATGGTTTTGTACATTGTCCCTGTTCTATAAATAATAAACGAGTCTTTAAAAGGCCCACTGAGAATAAAAACTGTTGTATAATATGTTTGCATTTTTTTGCTTATGTAAAGTGTGGTACTGCTGATTAGACGAGGCATCTTACCCGGGCACACCTCCGGCTTCCATGTGATTGGCTAATGTGACATCATGTGACCAGACATCATACTGCCACTTCCTGAGGCCAATCACGCCGCATAGGACATTTCCCGAATGCACTCCGACACGCATGTTGATATCTACACAAGTGGCATCTCTGACTTTCCTGTGTGAGAAACAGAGGGATGACTATCATGGAAATACTCTCAAAGGCTGATTTTAAAGATAGGGCAAGCTAGATCTATTGGAAAATTCACATTGTTTCATGCTGTCACGGACTAAAAATCATGCCTTTAATGGTGGAATACATAAGAAGCAAATGCAAAAAAACTGCAATTTGATTCACCTATGTAGAGAACACTAAGCTTTAAGCCAAGTCTCACAGTAAGTCAATGAATAACTGAGATTTTAATCCAAAAAGTATACATATGCGTTTCTGGTTTATTCTCACTGTCTTTAGAATGTTTTGGTCACAACCTTCTACACTTATCTTAATACTTATACACTGCACTCATATAAAGATAACCGACTTATGATACAAGAATGAAAGGTCTAAAAAAGGCTAACTGACACGTAGCTATACAAAAGCTCCCTGTTTGAGGCATGTTTTGTGAAAGTTCTCTGAGATGAATATTTGCACAGTGGCAGCACATGGCACTAGAGTAATGTTGGGTTTGCTATACACATCAAACAAATGCTGGCAGTGGCTCTGCTCAATCTGTCTGACAGGCGTCTGTTTGTGTTTGTAGGAGAGAGAGATCTGGTATTTTACTTGATGGCCTCACACATATCCAAGCCCATCTTCACGCAGTTCCTGGCATGATGTGGCAGTGACTCCGGCAGACCGGACACGCAGTAGTAACAATCGCCCAGGATCTTGATTCGCATACATTCATTCTCCTTGAAACATATGGAAAGACAAAAAAATAAATAAATAAAAATACTTTAATAAAAAATGTTTTGGTAGGTACACAAAATATATGAATATGAGTCAAGACAGAAACAAGCAATTGTTTGGATAATAAATTCTATGCGTTTATTTGATTAATCCATTAGTTGTTTAGAATGCAAATTATTACATTTGAACTCAATTTGAAAAAAATAATAATAGTAAAATCTATTTTTTTCAAATAATTAAAAATAGTAATTTGTATATAGTTACTGCTCTGTTTGCGTCTTGAAATCATACTTTACAGCACAAATCATAATTGCCAGACAATGGGCTGCTGCTTTTGTCAAGTTCTTTAAACTCTGCAGCGTATCATTTTATGACCAGTTAAAACAATCATCGATCTGAAAGTGTTAGATTACAGCACAAAAACCTTTCGGCTTAATATAGGGGTGTGCTTAATACTCCAGCAAGTACTGTAGCTACTGCTCTGTTTGAGTGTAATGTGAAATCACACTTTAAAGCACATAATTGTGTTGAAGTTGAAATTAACAAAGTATTTTCAGAATCATTATTTATTTTAACAATGTACTCATTGTTAAAAAAATAAATGATGATTCTGAAAATACATCATTAGTTGCACTTTGTTACAGCTCTAATATGCGGGATCATTTCAACGTTTTCAATGTCATTAGTTTCTTATAAAGTTGTGATATCTCCCCTTGATGCATTTTTAATAATACAATAACTCAAGATTAGTGGTTCAACCCCACTCTATCTTGGGAATCAAATTCGTTCTCTATAAAATATAACTGTCATCCATTGGTGATGGTAAATCAGTAACAAAAACCTCAGACATCATTATGTCCAAGAGTGCACTAAATCCCATAGCTGAAGTAGACAAGAACAGCTACACGGATACATGACTCTATTTTCTAACCACACATTCTGATTGGGAGACAAACACTTAGCCAACTGCTGCATTACAGTATACATTTAAAATCAATCAGATTTAATCACTGCATTTTCAGACAAAACTTATGCTTTCTTTTGAGTAAAACTGGGGATGTAGCTTTCAAATTTTATAACTGTACACTATTCTTATACATCACCTCCTCATTTTTACATAATACCAGTCCAGAATACTTTTCACCTAATCATAACCCTTGCACATATCCATCAGGCAAAAAAAATAAAACCATCCACCCACTCCGACAACACATTAGCCGTGCTTCGTCATGTGGGATGTACAACAGCTCTCCTTTTGGGCAGGTTTACATAAGCATTTGTGAATACTGGTGCCTGCTGGCCCAAAAGGCTGCAAGAACCCAAAACGGCTTTGAAGAGCTGAATAGAAGAGAACCCAGAGGAGCGTCAAGCAGACCCTGACCAGCCCACACACATCCACAAAGTGCTCTGTGAAGGCTGAGACCAATAGTAGCCGCGAGACATACGACATTTCAAGGCCACATTTCATCCAACTGGCAACGAGAATGTACCGTTTTTCTCTGCTCAGTTAATACATTTATTTTACCAATGTTAAATATTTGAGTAATTAAAATGCAGGCTATCATTTAAACATTTAAATGATCATTTATGGGGGCGACAGTAGCTTAGTTGGTAGAGCATTGGCCTTTGAGCCAGAAGGTCATGGGTTTGAGCCCACTTCAAGACTTTCACCATCGACTCCCACTGTTATGTCCTTAGGCAAGACACTTCACCCCCATTGCCTAGAATGAGTCTGGTGTGTGTGTGAATGGTTGGTGGTGGTTGGAGGGGCCGATGGCACATACTGGTTGCCTCGCTTCTGTCAGTGTGCCCCAGGGCAGCTGTGGCTACAGTAGTAGTTTATCACTACCGTGTATAGAGGGAATGAATAATGACACGTAAAGCGTCTTTGAGTGTCTAAAAAAGCGCTATATAAAACCGATGCATTATTATTATATTATTAAACTAATTTGGAATCTTTTGAGATTCTGGCTAAAGGCCTAATTTAGGAACTTGACATGTCTTCCGCTCATGTCTCGCCTTCAGCTAAACTAGTTGAGAGCATTTCATTTTGTTCACAAGTCCATCACCCCAAATTAGAGCTAAAAGAATGGTTACTAAAAATTGCATATTTGACAATGGTGTTGTCACACTGCTATTAATGAGTCAAGAGTTGAAACTGTATCCCGAATTCTATATCATGGCAATGCTTGTTTAAGCAATTGTGATGATTTATAAATCATCTTGTATAGACAATAAACTGATTAACTAAATGTAGATTTTGATCTACAGAGCAATAAAAGCATAGAAAGAAATACATTCAAGGGGCGGGTGTGCAAATATAACATATTTGTATTTGTTGGTATGTAAGTGTAATAATAAGCATTTTCTAACACAGTAGTATCATTCAATAATATTGCTTTTTAAAGAGGGGACCACAAGAATTATACCATTTCTGATAGATCAAAATTTTTCTAAAACAGATTAAAATTGTATCCTTATGTTGCATTATTATTACTATTATTTTTGGTGCAGATACTTGCATACCTGTCGTGAAATCTGTGAAATAATCACCATGACCAGAAAGGTTTTTACATCCATTTACAATAAGCAGACACAATAGTTAATCCATACAGACTTTAGTCTAACACTTTTGTACTTACTTTTGCAATCTGGTCAAACTTCCCAAACAGTTCATTGAGCATGTGCACCAGTTCACCTGGAGAGCAGTCACTGGCCAATCGTGTGAAGCCCACAATGTCTGCATACAAAATACTGCAGAGAATACCAGAATTACCCGACACAAAGTATCACAGATAATTGCGAAACGCATAATAATAATAGTCGTGGTGGCTTTGCCCTCAATACACCATCTGCCCTGGGCTTTGTTCTAAACAGATTACCCTCTTAACCGCATGCATTTGTTATTACTGGAAGGAAAATTGGCAGATCAACATGAGCACACAGACCCTGGGTGGGCATACATACTACACCTGAGCCCCACTTGAAAGAGACACTCTCCCACAAGGCTATTCTGCACTGGAAAGCAGGTTTTAGAGGACATTCCTTAGAGAATCTCTCATGTTAAGCCAGGATTTGTGTCATCTGCTGTGTTTTCAATGTTCTCACCTCTTGTGGTATAAAGGTGTGAGGTGGGACATACAGGACGCTCTACGTTTGGCAAAGTGACCCGAGCGTACAATAAGGGCGGATCAGCTCGAGTGGGCTTTGGCCTTGAAAGTAATAATGAATGAATATTGGAGAGAGGAGAGGAGCTGGAAAGTTCTCATTATCCTGAAATAAATTCACTTTATAACAAATGTAAGGTCAAACTTTAACTACAGCAAAGAGACGACTGATGGAAAATAATGTAATTACAATCAGGCTCTGAGAATTTGGAGAGGAAATGAAAAACAATTGAAATTCGGATTTCACTTTGTGACTTTAGCATTCAGGGGAAAATTGTGAAAAAAGGTCATGCCACAATGGTATTTGATCTTTAAAATATGGAAATAGTAATATTGAATTACAGTATCTTCATCTTTGTTGGGACCTGCTCACAGTGACAGGGTGCTGATGATAAATTGTTCGGTGCGGTCTCATGATGTCAAAATGTGCACAACATAAAGTGGAGGACAAACCAACAGTTATAATTGTTGAAATCTATTGGTCTTTTTATGGACATATTCGCATGCCATTAACCCTCTCATTATAAAACAGAAAAATGTGTTGTTGGATATGTCCATTCAAATGTTTAGGGAAGAACCAAGCCCTGCTGATCAAAGACGGCGTTCTTTTCAAATCAGTGGCTTGTGCTCAGCAGCGTATAGGACACATTCACTTTAGGTTCATCCTAAAGTTCCACTCGAAGGTGAGGGGCATTCACTCTTGTTGGTCTGGTTCCCATTAACTGGACCAATTCTAGTTCACTTGGGATAAAGAATACTTTATTTGTGGACATAAAACCACAAATTAAGAGAGCACTATCTTTTGAGTACTTTATGAATGATTATGAATAAGTGCAGTATATACATGATTAAAAAATGCACTCCAAACATAAAAGCATGAAAGGCAAACAAAAGGAGGCCTTGGATGAGAAATGGAAAAGAACAGCAGCACTGAAGTAACTCCTTCAGAAGAGAGTTATCAAAAAATCTTTTCACTGAGGAAACAAAAACAAACAGCAGAAACTCACCTCACATTGGTGTGTCTCTGGACGTACAGATTGTGGAAGTTGTTGGTGCTCTCTGTTCGGCCAAAGTTGGGCCCTTGCAGTCGCTGGATAATCTCCGCTTTCATCACCCGGGCGATGTGCGAGGGCAGCAAGGACAAGAGCAGGCGCTCCTGGAGCATTAGAATGACAAAGCCAAACAGACATGAAGGCGGCTGTAAAGTGCCAAACTATCGTCTTGTCCTTAGGCAAGACACATCACCCACACCGCCTAGAATTAGTCTGGTGTGTGCGTAAATGGTTGGTGGTTGTCGGAGGGGCCGATAGTAAATAATCGTTGCCTTGCTTCGGTAAGTGTGCCTCAGGGCAGCCGTGGCTACAGTAGCAATTTATCATCACGTGTATGGAGTAATAAAAACATAATAATGACATGTGAAGCATTTTTGAGTGTCCAAGAAGCGCTATTTAAAACCATAATAAAAATATTATTATTATTATTATTAAGCAATGATTAAAATGCAGACAACTTATTGTGTGCGTGCAGACATGGCATTGTGCGGTTTGTGAATACATAATGCAGAGCTTTATTGGTTGTACACACTAACCACTTCCCAAGCCACAGGCTTTGGCAAACAATTATAATGTTATCTTAATACACACTGTAGATATACAAGTTATTTATTAAGGCAAAGAGCTAATATTTGACCTCCTGATGTTCAGCCAGGAGCATTGATGAAATAGAACAAGTACAAAAGAGAAATAGGAGAGCTGAGCATGAAGAATGAGGGTATATATTATACTAAGTACTTGAGAGAAAGTATTAATTTGGTTTGGCGGTGTTTGGCCTGCTGCTGATCTGCAGCCCATGTCTTTTAGCGCATTTTCATTTTTTGTCTGAACGTGTTTTTATTCTTATTCATATGTTTTGATTATGCTTTTAACTTGCTGTAGCACCTTGAGATGTGCTTTGCATATGTAAGGCGCGCTATAAATAAAATCTATTATTATTATGTGCCACCAGCCCCTCCGACCACCACCAATCATTTCCTAGGCAAGACACTTGTCGTTGTGTACCTAGGCAAGACACTTGCAAGACACTCGTCAAGGGACACAACGACAGTTAGGTACCTGGTGCTCCCAGAGGTCTCTCATCACAGTACTAACCAGGTCCTGCCCTGCTCAGCTTCATAGGACTGACTGGATCTGACTTTCACCTGCAGGCGGCGGCACCTAAACCTAAATTAAAATATTACAAACGCCCTCTGTAAGAGTTAAGGCCATTTGGCACTTATATAAGTTAATTTGATATACATATAAAATAACTCATTATTATTAAATCACCTGACATGTTTCTGCGGTAGTTCTGCTCTCCATTTTACAAAAAAAGAACAACCAAAAAGAGCAAAAGAGCTAAAAGCGTACTCCAACATTAGAGTCCAATTTTGGGGTGGTTTGAGTGATTTTGAATGTGTGTGTGTGTGTGAGAGAGAGTGTGTGTGTCGTAAAATGGAGTGAAAAGCTGCCTGAGGGGGTGTGAGTCATAAATGCGACTCGCAGTGGCGAGGGTCATTACATTGTTCGCACGCTGCGGCTTCATTTCCTAAAACACAGCGGCAAATTAAGTAGGGAGAAGGGTTGGGGTGCACGGCTAAAAATAGACCCCGCCAGCGCCACAAAACCTCATTGAGAAGTACTCTAGTGTGAGCGCGGTGCACACCGCCGGAGCTACGGAGGACGCTCCATTAATTTATTGTGTTGATTACAGAACGGGCACAATTGCATTACTGCACGTGGGGGCCGACGAGCTGCTTACACTTTAAAGTCAGTCTAAATCATATTGTATAGTTAGGAATTACACTTAAAGCTAGGGTATGTTGTTTTTTCTTTCATAAGCGACAAGAGTCTGGCAAAAGTAAAATGTTCTTCAGAATCATTTGTTTTTGAGGTTTGAAAGTTAGGTACCCCAGCTTTAAAAGTATATCATGCAACTATCCTGGTAGAGGGTCATATTTTTGTTAAGCCTACAATGTTCCACAATTCACTTGGCATATCTGCGGAGAGGCGAGCTGACCCAGTGGAAGAATTCTGGGTTTGAGAAATAGTAAAAACATGTGAAATTACATTTTCTTTTTTTTTATTCATACTTGGGTACATTCCAAGCAAAGAAATATCATCTCAAAGTAGATAGGTGGTGAAAAATGGGACACTATTTATAATGTTCTAACCCACAAGCCAAAGGGGTCATGGAAAAGTTATTTTGAAAACATATGTGGATTAAAACTGGGTCCCAGATGCAGGCCGGTAAAAAGACCACATGAGAAATCACAAACCTAGATAAATAACTTAACATCTTGGCCTGTATAAATCCTTAACAACCCCCAGAGTAAGTGGGCCATCCGTTAGTGACTGATTTGGGTGGCAGATCCCTGGTTGTGCATAATATCACCATGATCTATGTCCATACCCAGGATAGGACTTACATGTGTAATATCTATGCATAATATTCAAATGAGCACACACCTGTTGATGCTTCTCAAACTCCAGTTTAATAGGAGACTTGATGCAGTTACAGGTGTCGTGATAGGTCTGCTTAAGCGCCAGGTCCATCAGGTGCTTATGATACGCCCCCGCCAAGTTCCCACACGTAAAAATGATGATATTCGCCAAAATCTGTCAACACACAAAAGCAATCCGAGGTTTAGCAAGTTAGAACGCACACCAGGGTATTATTCAGAGCCATGACCCAAAGCTATCTATTGTTAAGGAAAAGAGAGTACACAATTATACTGTCCCCTCCACCTCAAGCCTTCCAAAGTGTGGCTGTGCATATAAAGGAGACGGCCTTCGGGTTGAGTCCAAGGGCATCGTACACTTTCAGTCCATTATTACATTTTTTCACACGCCACAAGTATCGAAGAGAGATCAAAATATGCCTATAGTGTGAAGAAAAATATAGTGGAGCAAATTTCCAGAATCATTTGATGTTTAATTGCAAAGGGCATAGTATAAGCTAGCAACAAGAAACAAAAATAGTATAGTTGTTGTCATTTAAAAGTAAAAGTCCATAGCATCATTTATATATAAATCAATGATATTGATACGATTTCAAGAATATTGTGAATATTGAATACAATACTGGTATTGTTCACACATATTTCACACTGCATGGTGGCCCAATCCCTTTAAGACTAAAAATTAAGTGCAACATTTTACAATTGAAAATCCTGAAAAGAACAAAGTCCATAAGAGCATAAAGAGGTTTATTACACTCTGGAGACTACTGAAAGTGCACTGTCACCATGATACAAGAAACGCTGCAGTTTTACTACCTGGCCCTTATTAAAATGTTTTTTACTCATCATTTCAAATGGTGCATGAAAAATACCTCCCATTTTCACTCAAGAAACAAATCATTGCAATGCAGTAATTGTCCAAGTGAAGTATCATTTATTCCATCAGCCTGTAATGGAACATCTTGAGGCAGGGTCATCTGAGAGGTACATGTGGACATCTGTGCGTGTGGGTTTGGGTCTCACCTGCCAGACTAAGTGTTCGAGCTCAGTGATGCTGGCCAGACAGAAGCTCAGAGTGACCGTGTGCGAGAGGCAGGTGACTGCACTGGCGATGATGGCCCCTCTCATGGAGAAAGGCAGCATGGTATAAACCACAAAAACAATGAAAAGAAAAAAAGACACCTGGAAAGAAGAACAACTTGTGAAAAATCTCTCCTATATTTTACTAGAAGAAATTAATGTTATACTTAAATCATACATTAACATTCATTCATATGTACATTGTTTGTTATTATGGATTTACAATTTATATATATATATATACATATATATATATATATATATATATACATATATACACACCTATATATTAAATGGATTTATATTAATTAAAATTGTAAATTCAATATATTAAAATATAATATAATGTCTATGGGCTATTTTTTCAAGTTAAAGTCTCAAAACAGCGATAAACTTTTTCTTATTTTGGTCACATCTCTACGCATTAATCACTTTCATAATCAACAGAACACACCACTGAAAACAGTAAACTAAAAACGAGTTCTTTATGAGCCAGACATTTGGAGCCATCCTTCACTGCCACATAACCTCAATAAGTGATATTGATTGAGTTCATTATTTGTCCATTTTTTATTATTCCATTTGGCAGTTAATAGAAAAGTTGTGATGGGAAAACTTCCCTCAGCACTTTCTGGACAAATGTGCGGGTAAAAAGTGAAATGAGTGTCATCTTCAAAAGAGGACTTCTTTGAAGGTCCAGCTCTTACTAGGGATGCACCGATCCGATACTGGTATCGATATCGGCGCGTTTTACCTTTGAGTTAGACAACCTCATACGGCGGTAAACTAGCAAAATACAACACGACTAAGCACCACGAGAAAGAAAAATGGGGAGTTTTTGCAGTGAAAGGAGAAGACGTGAAAACTATGAGACACAGATGACACTGATGCTTTGCAGCGTCACAAAAAGCTGTCAGCAACAACCCGAAAGTGTTGGAGTTCATCAGTTTGGGCTCGCAGCCCCATCGACCATTTGGAACCCAAGTACATGCGCCAAATACATATCTGAAATCCAGTTAAAGCTACGGTACTATTATTTATTTACATTTTCATGCAGCGTGTTTTGTTTGTTGTGCTTTTTTATTCAAACACATTTAATATAAGTGCATTTATACTCAATAAATGTATAAGGTATAATATAATGTTGGAAAGATTAATGTGAACATTGAGCAATTCTTTATAGTTGCAGTATTGCACATTTATGTTGAAAGTGAAAGAGTTCAATTATTTAATACATTTTATTGGGGTCATTTCCGGTATCGGGAAATATCGGTATCGGCAGATACCCATAGCTCTGGTATCAGTATCGGTAGTAAAAAAGCTGGATCGGTGCATCTCTAGCTCTTACAGTGGTCAGTGTGTGTGACTGTGCACGCTCTTGTCCCGATCATTGATCGCCAAGGTCCTAGTCTCCGGTTTAGTCCCTCTTCACTTCCCCCTGCTGCTTCCTGTTATGGTGTGGGTCCAATGACGACTGTCAGAACTGACCGCAGCAGAAGACACGAGATGGACTTTTGACCCTGTGGCCTGTCCAGTGTTCCTGTATGTTCAGGTTAAGAGAGCAGCTTTGAAAACAGGAATCTGCACAGATGGTTTTTCCGTTCTTGACTTCAAGAATTGATGACTCTGTATGTTTTGATAAAATTGGCAATGACTCCACATTGACACACAAGTACACTACCGTATATTGTTATTACAGCATTGAATCCACTCTACTTTAATCTGGGGTACATGACTTTTATACTTAAAAATGTGTCCTCTCACATTTTACTTTAAGTAAGTAATCTTTATTTATATACCACCTTTTCACAGCAGATCTGAGTCTCAAAGTGGTTTACAATTGTTAATTTTGGGCATTTGTCTCTCACTCCACACAGAGATGGGAGCGGGGTCGACTTTAACAAGACTCCTTTTGTGTTAGACAACCAACATGTAGTGTATATGAAACTCAGTTAATACAAGTTAAATCTATAAAGGAACACTATGTATTGTATCGTGTGTAAGCTTATATTTATTCAATTACAAGAATTACTATCGCTCCAAAGTAAACTAAAATTACCATGATGGAAAATAAGAAATGGTAGATATTTAAAGCACTTAAAGGAATAGGCCACCGTTTTTACATACTGACATATGTGCTTACCTTAGACTAGTTGATATGTACCTGTCTGGTCTTTGTCCGCTCTGTCATGCAAACGGAGCACAAACGCAGCCTCTTCCACAGACTGTATAGTAACAAATCAGCTCCCGTTAGAAGCTACTAAACTTATCCACGTGTTCCCTATTTAAATACAGTTACGTGACGTGATGTGTTACTCTACAAAGTATAGTAACACAGAAATGTAACATGTCGATTTTCTCAGCGGATAAAAAGGGGTACTATATTGTGAGGCGTAATAATACGAGGAGCACTAAGTCCTCGCACTAACTCCCATAGACTTCTCTCCCGCTCATGCTGCTTCTATTGACGGAAGTGAGCGGGAGAGAAGTCTTGGGTGTTAGTGCGCGGACGTAGTGCTCCTCGTATTATTACGCCTCACAATATACTACCCCTTTTTATCCGCTGAGAAAATCGACATGTTACATTTCTGTGTTACAGCAAAGGAAGGTTTCTCACCCATCATCTGTACTTCTTAGCAAGTTTTCCCGACGTTTCGTCCTCAATCCTAAGGACTTCTTCAGGGAATTAATTCTCAGACCGCGCGTTGGAGATTTATAACCTATGAGTGTGGTTAGCCACACCCTAATCCTGATACTAACTCATAAACAATCTAAGGTCTGTTTGATGTAGAAGGGAGCAGGTCTAACGACCCTGCTGAGGCTAACAACCCTAACTCATTAGCATGTCACTGACCTTGTCCCAAGTTAGGGCGTTGTTTTTAGGATGTCGTCATAGATCCTCCAACGCGCGGTCTGAGAATTCATTCCCTGAAGAAGTCCTTAGGATTGAGGACGAAACGTCGGGAAAACTTGCTAAGAAGTACAGATGATGGGTGAGAAACCTTCCTACTACACTACACTACATACTTTGTAGTGTAACACGTCACATAACTGTATTTAAATAAGAAACACGTGGAAGAGTTTGGTAGCTTCTAACGGGAGCTGATTTGGAACTATACAGTATGTGGAAGAGGCTGCGTTTGTGCTCCGTTTGCAAGACAGAGCGCACGGATAAAGACCAGACAGGTACATATCAACTAGTCTAAGGTAAGGTAAGAACATATGTCAGTATGTAAAAACGGTGGCCTATTCCTTTAAGAAAATTTGGAAATGGCACTAAAATGTAATTCTTATATAAGTATGGTTCAAATCTGTTAAAAAAACGGTTTTATTGAATATTAGAAATTAACATTAGAAAAACAGAATAATGCTAAAAAAGGTAATCACTTCTACTAGACATCTACCAAATGTTCTATTCATCTGTCACCCGTTTGATTAAAGGAAATTGCCATAATCAAAAATGTCCAAGCACCTGTACAATAGATGCAGAAAACACACATTGTTAGATGTTCTGTTGCTGGGGAAACCAAACCAAGAAGTGTGTTCTCAGTTCTCACTATAGCTCCAGATGCCGCACTCTGATGCACAGACAGGTACATATACTGAACCTGTAGGTCAACAACAACAGCCTAATAGTCCCTTGTGTTTAACTTTGTATAAACACAACATCAGACACAGCTTCTTAATTAAATGATCATGCCGGCCCTCACACCTGTAAGGCAGAGTAGACAGAGAATGCCTTGCGTGGCTATTTTAGAAGGATCATGTGTTGATAGTTGCTGACTTTTCATTTTGGCCGATATGCCGCGCACAGCAGCTGGAAGCCCTAAGAGATGTGGCATTACACCCAGCTAACAACATAACTCACTTGAAACAGTCATGTAAGCGCTTAGCTACACAGTAATGTTGTGTTGAATCCAATTAACTACCGTTTCTTGATGATTATTCAAAATCTGTTCCTCTGAAAGATTACCAAAACAAGTTTAAGTGTGAAGAAGTAGAACTACTGTACTTCTGTAAAAAGAAGCAAAACGTGGAGAATTTACCTGTCATTATGAGATCTATGGAGACCAACATGACAAAGTTGTTAACGTTTATACAGCAGTGTTTGGATTAATGTTTGGGTTGTTTGGGTTAAAAGTGAGTGGCCAAGCTTCTTTTGGCTTCATTAGTTGTCTCTTCCTCTCCCTTTTCCAGGCCTATAGTGTTATCAGCTCAGTGTGCTCCACCAGACACGCTGTTCTCACAGTAATCACAATCAAGTCCGACCCACTGAGAGCAGGCTGCAATTTCAACTGTTTGTCTGCTTTGCTTCTAGTTTAGTTATTTATCCTGTCCGACTTATTCCCTGTATATTTTTCCTCCTAAAAGCTTTCGAAACCAGACAGCCACGTAGTGGGGAAGAACAATTAATAATGCAAAATGATCATGAGCATGCATATTGCTGTTAAAAATAGCTCATTCAACTAGAGGAGCGCAACATATATAGCATGAAATTAGGGCTCTGTTTAGGGAGGAGGTTGGGGGAGCTGGGGATAGAGAAATTGATTTTGATGAATGGAAGGAGACGTGGTGCTACTGTGAGAAAATAGGTTTCTCAAGACAAAGAGGGAGTCTGGTGCTGAAAACAAATGCGTGTGTCGGCTGTCAGGTTCTACTACAGCCTCCATTGGGTCTAATAAGTCACAAAGTAATTCTAATCTCTGGGAGGCATGCACACTATAACATGAATTTAATGGTAGCAAGGGGGGAGCTTAGTGAAAGCAGTTGAGACTAGCTCTACTTTGTTCAGCTTAATGTGGAAATGTGTGTATTGTGTTGCAGTTGTCGTAAAAAATGACTCATAATTGATATGCTTTTACGTGAGTTTGTCATCTATTTGTGAATACATTGGCCTTTTCTATAATGTACAGTTGTTGATGAATCATGCACTGTATCATAGTCTTTTACCGAAGTTGTTTTGAGCTGCTCTGACAAGCCACATTAGGAAATAGAAGGTACCTGATTGGTTAGCTTTGGTTATACTATCTATACACTATATCTGGGACGACAACTTGGGCTTGAACTTGAATGAATACTTGGACCCCGATGCACTATTATATTGGGATTTTGATAATTGATGCTATACAAAATACAAACCCCAGTCATGATGTTTCCAAATCTGCCAGCAATATGACTTTTAATAAACGTCTTCACAATAGATGTTGTACCAGATGCCAGTGTTGATTATTCTAAATTAGTTCATGAAAAAATAATCAGAATAGTTTAGTTACTTTATTGCAAACTTTGAAAATGGAAGCAAAATTCCCCATTAGGCTTCCCAAAAGACAGTCTGTTCTAATATACAGGCTATCTAGCCCAGGGGTCTGAAACCTTTGTGACATGGAGTGCCGGTTTGAAATTTCCTTCTCATCTAGTGTGCAATTATCAACGATAACACAAAATAAAATTATGACACAAAATACAGAAACATTTCCAATATACCTGGAATTTTATTCTCAACCATAACAGTATCTGTATTCTTAATAAAATAGCCACATCAACATTTCAAAGACTGAAAAACAGCTAGCCTACACATTTAAACTAAAACTAGTGTAGGCTGAGGCAACATCAAATGATCAGATGCCTGTAGCAGACAGTCAGTGTGATCCCTGGCCCTGCTTTGCTTGAGCTCTGTGATCTGGGGCTTGTAGTTAGTTACTTTGAGTTGCAAACATGCCTCAGAGTGCTCCGTTGTTAACCGACTGCGGGTGTGGCTTCTCGTCCTCCAGTTCTGGATATTTTTTGCCCTTTTTTTGTAATCCTACAAAATCTAATTTTCATTTGGCCCTCGGTGTTTATATAGTCTATTTAAACACTGAGGGCCAAATGAAAGATTGGGCTCTTAGCTTTAATCTACAAAAAACAGCTTGTTTATATCTTTTATCGTTCTTGAGCAATTTGTCATGGAATATATTTTGGCAAATACAAAATAGGTCTCACCTGGATGCAAACTTGGGTCATCGCGATACGAGTGCTGTAACTTAACCACTAGACCACCGAGTCAAATAACACTTCTCAGATCCCAGGCAGGGTTTTTAACTGTTAATAAAGAACGTGGCAAGTTTTTTCTCACGCTGCCAGCGTGACCCGTATTATTACGATACTGTATCGTAATAATACAGAGGTGCCAGCGTGTCAGTGTTTATTCCGCGGCGTGCCATAGGTTGCCGACCCCTGATCTAGACAGTCATGAATGTAATAAGTAAGGGATAATGCATAGTAGGCAGGTAATTATCGGAAAATAAGTACCGACAGGGCGAAGCGGTCCTCCGTGCATGTGTAGTAAGAATGCAAATGTATAATGTATTCTCCCACTACTTGCGAAGCAATCTACACATCTGAATTACAAGCAGAGGTTGCGTTGCCATGGGCAGCGGTCATTATTGTTTTGAGAGGTACGTTATCAAGAAATAATGACCGGTAGAACGTTTTTAAATTACATTCAAATCAATGGAGCGTTCTAAGGATGCTGTGAGGAGCCGTGTAATAATGTGATTTATTGCTGACGAAGCAATATCGCATCGTATCATGGGGACCCAGTGATTCCCTTCTCTAGTTACCAAATCCAAGAACCAGTACAAACTCAAAGACAAAAAGTGAAGTTTACCTGGTCCCATGGGCTAAGAATCCCTCCAGAGAACATGAAGAGGTACCCCATGGTGACCAGACAGGCCCATATAAGGAGGGAGAAGAGGCGGAGCATTCGCTTGAAGACAGACTCGATACACACCAGGATGAAGATGGACAAGAAGAGGAAGAGTGCAGCAGGCACTGTGATCAGGAACGTCAGGTGATCTTCTGTGTTCTGCAAACCACAAAACAAATATATAAATTACGCTTAATCTGGATTTTTTTCTAATGACAATGCCAATCAATGTTACCATGTCTAGTCATCATACCAATTGAGATTATTCCTGTACAATAGAGTTGTCGATTCTTTAGATTTCAATTTCCAATAGTATTTTGACTTATTAGGAGTTCTAATAATACATTCTAGGTGAATATTTGGGCTGCAACTAAAAAATATTTTGCTTATCACTCTCGTAAGTACTCCTTTGATTATTCTATTAGTTCCAATCCACTTCATTTTATAAACAGGTTAGTGTTGACAGTTTAGTGTGACATTTATATATTTCTTAATGCATTAAATATCAGACCACCAAAGGGGATCATTATATGAAATCTAAGTCCAATTAGGATATTGACCCTTATCATAGAACCTTTTAGACCCAGATATTCGATACCAGTGCATCCATGGTGTTAGTTAGTCAGTCATTCTATTAATTCAAATACATTGTTCCAAAACTAAAACACCATTACAAACATATAAAAAGAAATGCTTCCATGAAGGTCAGAGGCTCAACATTTCAATGGCTCTGTAACAGGATAGAGTACGTTGCGACACTGCACTTGTGGACATTCAGAGGGTCAGAGGTACAGCCTGACCCTACGAGCGGTTGAACAGATTGGCAGACAGTCTGAGCCCGGAGAATGTGCTATAGCATCACTTCTGCACTCACCATCCCAGTCAGCAAAGTCACAAACTGTCAACATATTCTCCCTCACTCCCACACTCCACCACCTCTCATTTACATATTTTTTACACTTTTGCAATAGGGTCCAGAATCATGGGGATCAACGCCATTGGAGGTAAAAGGGGACGATCCACACAGTCGGCGATATTGCAATGTACAGTTATCAAGCACAATGACAGTGCTTGATAACCTCCGATAGTCAAATATCACATACATGCAGCAAATGATCCGGTTATAGTATTGATATTTTGTCACGCTCATGAATCCACCTAGTTACCAAAGCAACGAACAACTCAATGCGGATGTCTGAATGACGACCTGAGATATTTTTCATTGTCGTTCCCTATTCCTCAAGCTTAACTGATCAAAAATGTGAAATGCCAAGTTATCCTTTTGATGAAGCGAAAACAGGAGATTATTTTTGTACAATTGCAAGGATGAATGCAAGATTAATGTCAGAAGTTGCTCAAAACAAATGATATAAGATTGAACAGTCAAATTAACCAGCCTTGCCATAAATCACACAGCTTTCCCTTGCAGCTCGTCTGTCTCCTTCGCTTCCATGATAAAAAACTGACCCCTCCTTGAACTCAGAAATGTGTGTCTGTGTTTTCTATGGTCTACTGGAGCAATCTGATTATAGCTGCTAATACTATGTAAATAATCCCATGACATGTAGCCACTGTTAACGCTGTGCACATGCTTTTTGAGTGTAATTCTAGACATTAGTTATCGGGCTGAACACCTCGCATCAAAATGACATTCACAACAGTTCATACTACACCCACATGTTCCAATTTCGGCTTGTTCCAAAGTCACTAAAAATGACGGATCAAACAACCATGAATGTGAAATCATCCATGTCAGCCATTTTTCTGTCAAATGAATACCAATGTGGGCCAGGAGGAACTTAATTAAATTGCCAGCAGTTTTGATAAAACATTTCAGAATTCAACACTTGCACAAGGAATTTTTTTTCGGGACCGTTTTACTGTCAGTGTGGACTAAACATTTTTGTCAGGCTGAAAATGTTAAACATACACCTTTTCATCATCAGCAACTTCTTTTGTTTGACTAGAGTTTGGTATGTTGTTCCAAAAATATCTGCCAAACAACAATTTCCAAATGACAACAAACTCTGAAAGGAAAGGTAAGAAAAGCTTTTTACTCTATAGTCAAGACTGATAAGTATTAGTCAATGTTAAGAACACAATAACCTATGACAACATGTATTAACATTATATAAGAAAAAACATGTATTATGTAAATTATGATGAGAAAGAAGAGTGCACAGATATACACACGCAATATATGTATTTTCTCGAAACCTCTCTTAAGCAAGTTAATAATGATGGAAAATCTTGCGGGCCACATTTAGCTCGGGGGCCATGTGTTTGACACATGTGGCATAGAGGATCAGCTGGTACCAGAAACACACAGATTCATAGCCATGTCCTGTGGGATTTTTCAGATGACCTACATGTAATCTTAGGCTCAATTACTACTTTGTGATTTATTTAGTTTGGTCTCCTGTGAATAATAGTTGTGCTTGTGCTCTTCTTGAACTCACAGCAAGACGGGTGTGGGTTTGATTTGTGTGCGATCCGGGCCTTTCAGAGTGGAGTTTGCTTATTTCTCCTTATGTCTGTGGGGGTTTCTTCTGAACACTGGTTTTGTCCCCAGCCAAAAACATGCACCATAGATACAATCCTTATACTTTACATTTTCAGTTTCACTTTGAATGGTTGAACATGATTTTTCTACAAGGATTTGTGGGAGGGAGCAATGCCACACATAATGCAGCATTGTATTTTTACCTCCTTCTGGCCTATAAAAAGATAAAAAGAATATGGCACAGCAGAAAGAAAAGATAGAATATTGAACAATTTGAGGGCATTAAAATTTCACATGAAGAAGCCTAGTATTAATAAATAGGAGATTCAACGTTTTTGAAGGAAACAGCCAAAGCCTTCATCCGCAAATGTTGAATCTTACTTTTCTATATTCACCTTCCTACATTTTTGGATGAAATGACAGAATGCATTGAACAGTTCTTGTTCCGACTTAGTATGAACTTTGATCATAAACCAACCAAGTGTAATTCCCATCACAAAAATTGTTTCTACACCTATTAGAGAGCACATGACAGACCGATACAGTTTGGTCTGTCCTCTAATTGAATATTACAGTAATCTTACACTTGTGGCTTATTTCGATGGCTCCGCACATCCAAATAGAAAATCAATAATATATGAACATGCTCTTCCATAAGTGCCCCATTTGCACTAAAAGCTGGCCGTGAAATCTGGTCAGGGCTCCAGGACATCCAACAAAAAGGATGATGAAATGATTATAAAATTTGAGGATATAGAAATAACTGAACCTCTAAATAATGCACTTCGTTAGACAGAATTTATCACTGCACCTCAGGCAAAAGATGTGCACAAAGGCAAAAAGGCGCCAGTGACCAAAGCACCGAGATGAATCCAAAACGCATGCATACACACACACACTCCGCTCATCAGTAACCATGGGCCAGGCCAAGTGAATAATCGGAGGGGAACATCCGCCCCGGAGGCTAATCAGCATTTAATCAAACAGAGCTAATGAATTAGTGTAAGATCCCACATCAATTATAGTTATGACTATAATGGATGTCATTTTAAAAAGTAATCTTGCAACCTTAAAGTACCCAAGTCATGAGACAGTGTTAATGTGCTGTAAAATAGCACTAATTATACAATGCAGAGTGTGTTTGATCATAATCGTACAACGAAAATAGTGTAGTTATCATACAGTATACTGTATTAACGAAAAATACTCCCCAGTTACATTACACACCAGGGGTCAAACAAAATGACTTTGTTAATATTGTAATTAGCTGCACTAACTATGTTACTGTGTATAGATGATTTCCTGAGCACAGAATAAGTCCACGGTCACCATCCATAGCGGTCACACAGCTGCATCAGCTTATTTCTACGCCGGCAAACTTTCAGAAAGCAATGAATCTTCTGCTCTGACTAGTTGGAGTTCTGGCAATATGTAGATTGCCTTAAAATTAATCATGCTTGGTAAAAAAGACGGCTCTCAATAATATCCTCTTGTATTCGTACGCACACTTGATATTATAGGTTTTATTTCAGTACAAATAATTAGTTCTGTGATTAATTATTTCCGTTCTGTCATCCCCTTTCTGCCTCTGGTAAAAGGATAGTTATGAATCTATCCTGCAACATCCTGTTCTCATCCCGCATCCATCATGAGTATATAAAAGGAAATTTAAAGACTCTCAAGACACTGATCCAACAACCACTGAAAGACAACACCATCACATGATACGATGCATTCAGATACATTTCAGAAAGGTCAATGATGAATTATGATCAATCAAGATTCATTATTATTTAATATCCTGTATGAAACAGTATGTATGTTTTTTCACACATTTGATATTGAACTATTGATTGTTCTTGAACACAGGAGCTTATATTGCATGTCATATGCACACAGCTCCTGGATGGTACAATTATCTGACTCACAAAGCTCAAAACCATAGGATCTTTTGTTGTGTATTAATGGCATCAAGAAAAAGACTTTTTTTCTTAATGTTGCAGATAAGCTGAAATGAGGAAATGAGAACAAAAACGCCCCAAACGCAGACTTTAGACCGAGCTGTGGCTAGTATTTTGGGCAGGGCAAAGTCAAGAGAACCATGTATTCACTCACTGATCTGGAGGGAAAGATAAAAGTGGGCAGTCATTTTTGGAGCATTAGTGCTGCTTTGGTTGGGTCTCTGTCGGCTCTCTGATAAAGCCTGACCACTTAAAACAACATCCTCTCCTCCCCTAACTGCCGGCCCCAGCTCTATACCTCACCCTATTTATTCCTGCCATTCTTCTTCATTCAGAGCGAATAAATGCACCAGTACAAGCCTCTCATAAATTAAACTGGGACGAATTGGCAAGAAATGAATGATTGACGAAATGAATGATTAGAAACTAAAGTAATGCCTTACAGGAGAAGAAGCAAAGCGGCCACAGGCAATGAAATCAATCGATTTGTCTTAAACAGAAGTAAGCGCATTGATTTAAGTCGAGGATCCGCTGCGGATAACGATGTTGTAGACCATGTACAATCACAGTAACAGGACAGGAGTGTCAGGGTCACACGCCTGCACTTGGACATCCAGTACAGAGCAGCAGCAAAACAATCAACAAGAGTCATGAGTGGGAATGCTATTTATCAAACACAAAGCATCACTTTAGAACAATAGCTTGAGTTTATGGTTGAGTGTTTGTGGCCAAAACAACACGTTTCACTGACAAAAGCACAAACACCTACACAGCTCCAAACTTTCATCTCGCTCTTGATGGCGTTTCACAGCCTCTCATGTAGTTCCATCACTCTACAAAGACCACACTGACCTGCCTCACTTATTCAGTCGACTGGAATGGAAAGCAAACAGCTCTTATTCTCGTACTTCACTGCTGTTCTGTAAATACAAGAGTCAGCCATCATGTCAGAAGTGAAACACAGTAGTGATCACGGCTCCCATGCACACAGCTGTAGGGTCTTCACCACGCTACCCATTAGGACACAAAAAAATGAATAGATACAGATGATAGAATGATACACAAGGAACGCTGGCAATAAAAAACACAATGTAATGGTACAATTTCATGTTCCATTTCAACTTTCATGCATGCTAGAATGAGGCTAGCTTTTTTCCAAGGTTTGAACTATACAAATTAGAATCTGACTATATCTATATTTCAATTACACTTTTTTGTAATACACAAAATAAAGAGCTATACAAAAATGAAGCAAACTTTAAAGTGAGTTAAAAACGTTAATTCCAGTAGTTCTAGGCAAGAATAGACCAGAATCATGAATCTGTTAAAAAGAACTGTGAAGAGTATTTATGAATCCAGATTTAAATCAAGATCTACCATGGCTCTTGAGGCCACCCTGGAAAAGCCGTGTTCCAGCTTCTTCACTCCCTGAGATGAAGAACATCAGCCACATTTGCAATTTCTTGATTGAACAAAGCACTGATCTTGCACTTTAGAGTGTATGTATTTTTAACATTTGTTTCAGTGTCAACTGTTTCCAATGTACTTTCAGTGTGATAATATATATTTGTTTAGTGCTTTGATTATGTTGTCTCTGGTGCACACTGGGCAACAATTCTTATGTGGTTCTATACTGCAAAGAACAATTAAACTGAATCTGTTTTTTTTTTTAATGTATAGAAATACATCAAAGTGAAATAACACAAAGGACTCACACAATATTAAAAGCCAGAGCGGTTCTGGTTACAATTCAACTGTTTTTTAAAGTCTAGAGAGGATCTTCCGACTTCTTTCATCTTTTTCTTGAGCAGAAATAATCTACCCGCACCTCGCTCAAAGTGTCACCTCGCTCACTTACCAGCCCGGACGCGAAGAAGACCGCCAGTAGTGCCAGGCAGGTTCCCATGACGATCAACAACAGGAACACTATGAGCGGATGCTGCTGGCTCATCCTGTAGTAGGACTCGTACAGCCAGTCTTGGGGCTTCTCCGGCTCTAGGCACACGTCCCCCGCCTGGAAGCCAGGACAAGCTTCGGCAAGACCCTCGGGCCCCTCCGCGCCCGTCTCCCCTCCTCCTCTTTCTCCTCCTCCATCGCTCTTCTCCAGCAGGTATCGTCCGCGCGTCCACAGAGCCTCCTGCCACATGTGGACCTGCCAGCGTGCTCACTCAAAAAACACAAGTCAATTCAAAATGAAACAGCCCCCTCTCCGCACACCTCCTTCCCCATGCGCTTGTCCAAAAATAAAAAATAAAAACTTTCTTAGCTGCTTACAGATGAATGGGCGGCAGATTGTGAGCGGGGCAACTTTTCACGCACATGGTCTGCTTGGATGGATTGGCCCCGCATCTTGCTCTTCATTCAAAATCTTCCTTCGGCCGTTCGCGCGCTGCTTCTTCCTGGAGATGAAATGAGAGAAAGAGCTTAGAGCAGCGGCGTGTTTCAGCGCTGAGGTGCAGATGGGGACTGAGAGGGAGAGACCTCTGTGAGGGAGAGCAGGGAGCAGGCGGGGAGAGGGTGTGGAGCAGGGTGTTACAGCGTGTGCCGTGTGTGTGTCGTGTGTGTGTGCCGTGTGTGTGTGCCGTGTGTGTGTGCCGTGTGTGTGCCGTGTGTGTGCGCCGTGTGTGTGCGCCGTGTGTGTGCGCCGTGTGTGTGTGCCGTGTGTGTGCGCCGTTGGGAAATGTCAAGAAGTGGCTTAGACCAGAGAGGTGCTGGAGCAATCCCAGGATATTTCAGAGTTTTGTCTTGTGTAAACAAATACCTTGTCTTACATAATCTTTGCACGAGATAGGGTTGAAGAATGATAATTCATTTGGGTTGGAGCAACTGACAAGATTATGCCACATTATGTCACGTTATCGGCAATTTGTTCATACAGTACACTGCACTGTGCATAAATAGTTCTGTATAAAGTGCATGTCTTCTGCATAGAACAGGCATGTCCAAACTAAGGCCTGCGGGCCAATTGCGACCCTCCATATTATTGTGTGTGGTTCGCTGCCTTACTAACACAAAGCAGTCTTTGAGATCATAAACACAAGTTCATAGTGTCATCCAGCAAACTTCAGCTCTGCCAACACAGACACTAATAGAGATGGTTTAGAATTATTTCATGTGTTATTTTGTAATTCTTGCTTCTTGTTGTCTGATTACCTGCCCTGCCCTGATGTGTCACCTGTGTCTCAATAGTCTTGTGCATTTAAACCCTGAGTGTTCCGTCATTGTCATTCCCACGTCTGTTTCAGTCCTCTCCTCGGTCCCTGTGTTTTCTATGGATATTGTATTCCTTTTAGTTAAATCTGTTATTTTGCAGTTCTGCGTTTTTGGGCTCATTTCCTTTTACCCACGTGACAAATATCTCGTTATGAAGCACAGGATATCTGGAAACCAGTCCTTGACTTTATTTGAGCATACTGACTTCTGTCTTTGATTGATTAGGGCGACAGTAGCTCAGTTGGCCTTTGAACCAGAGGATTGTGGGTTCGAGCCCGACCTTCACCAACGACTCCCATTTTCTGCTGTCGGTGTGTCCTTGGCAAGACACTTAACCTCTGGGAACACCTGATGCCACAGTGGGGCGGCTGCTGCTGTAAAGTGCCAAACTGCTGTTGTGTCCTTAGGCAAGACACTTCACCCCCATTGCCTAGAATGAGTCTGGAGTGTGTGTGAATGGTTGGTGGTGATCGGAGGGGCCGATGGCACATACTGGTTGCCTCGCTTCTGTCAGTGTGCCCCAGGGCAGCTAAAACCGATGCATTATTATTGTCAAATGAGGTTGATGAGTAAACATGTCATTCAGCCAACTTCAGCTTTGTCTGAACCAATATAGACATGTCATACCTCTTTTTAAAAGCTCAGAACAAATACCCATTGATACGTGATGTCGGCCCCTGGACAATTATGGTGAACTTAAGTGGCCCTCTTACAAAAATGTCGGCGCTTTGATGAGAAAAAAAATAGAGTCTTGCAATTGTATAAGAGATAGAGAATCTAATACTATTAATATTATATAATATTCATATTATCTAGGTTCTGGATTCATTTCGCAACCATGAAACGTTTCCGCAACTTTGACATCTTGTTTTGGGTGCATCTTATTCCTTGTAACACTGACATTTCCCTTGATGTGAAACAACAAAAAATCCTCTATAACCATATCTCTGTCCTGTCTGTTTGGGTTACTACATCCATGTCCAAAATGACTAATGTGTTGTTTTGACTCAACAAAACCAACATTGTCATTATGCCGCTACAATTGCAAAGCACCACTAAAAGAAAATGATGTTCCTTGAGTCTCAGCGAGTTGCGAAAAAGGGTGTGAAAGTGTGTGCAACCTTCAATAAAAGGAACTAATTTGGACATTTACATAATAGGAGCACACTCGGAAATCTGGCAATAGAGGAAGTCCTTCAAAAAAGGAGATGTCTGTGTTTATGCTGTGGGTAGCTCCGTGTTTAATAAGCACTGGGGTTGAGAACGGGTGTAACGCTGGTGTTAAAATTGGGAGAAACAGAGCGTGCAACTGACAGAAACATAATGCCAAACTGAACTCAACGAGGAGATATATAGAAGCGAACAGTGCAGGGGGGGAGCATGGAGATGGGGAGGAAAAGGAACTATAAAGAAGAGAAAGGGGTGCAGGCTCAAGAGGCATCAAGTGAGTGGGTGGGGAAAAGAGGCTCCGGGTTCAAACGCACTGAAGAAGAGCGGATAACGAGTGGAGGTTTTACACTGGCAAATAGGCCACGGATGTAAAACAAGAGAATTATTCCACAGTAGAATGTCTTCCCCCATATGGGCCTGAACCCATTTGGGGGAAGACATACCACCATACCACCAGTCGCCTCCATGCTTCGTTCATGCCCTGTGTGAGAGTGAGAATAGAGCAGCGTTGGTCTGATCCACATTCATTAAGCGCACTTGAGAATTTCATAAATAACAGTTTGTTTGTCCCAACAGAAAGAGTCCTATTTGAAATAATACGTTGAGAACAAATCAGACCAGACCGAGCTGTTTTCATCTGTGTAACATAAGTTTGAATATTCTTGTCAGGTAGGTTTTTTTTCTGAAGAAAATGAATTTAATTATGTTTGGAATGAACCAAAACTGGGCCAACGGTAAGATTCAGATTCAGAAAACTTTATTGATCCCAAAGGGCAATTCATTTGCAGCATAAACTCAAGGCAGAACATACGTACTCTACACAAACACACAGTGAGTCTCACAGTTCACACAGCAGCAGGCTACACAATATAAGTTACAAAAAAAGCAATGAACAACACAATTCCCAAAAAGTCAAACACCTCTACCAGAGTTCAACAGTTTTATGGGATGGGACTGCAGATTGTATTTTCATCCCTTAAATCTCAGCTAACTTATTACACATCAGAACAATTGTGTTTTAAACTAGCTGCGGATCCTCTAAGTAACGGCAGAAGTTTTTAAATGTTTGAACAGTCGTGTGTCGCCGCTGTTTTCCGCTCTCATTATTCGGCGTCAGGACTCCCGCAAACCCTCCACCAGAGCCTCGGTGAGTGGGGACTGTGTTCTCCCAAAATTTACAAAATCTTTTGGACAGTCCAGTTTCTCATTTAATGGATCCAGACTGTGGAACTCTCTGCCCACTGATTTAAAACTGCAGACTGACATGAACAGTTTTTACAGAGGTCTGAAACAATGGCTGAAGTCAAGTCAAAACTGCTCACATGGTAACACTGTATGAAATGTATACTGATGATGTGTAATTGTGTATTGTTTACCTTTTTAAATATTGTACTGTATTGTATTGTGTTTTTTGAAATGTGTAGCCTCCTATGGACAGGTGTTGCAAATTAGCAGTTTTGCTATAACACTGGAAACAATGTATCTGGTTTGTCCAATGCAGTTGATATGTCCATATCAAATAAACTAATAATAAAAGTACTGTCTGAGTAAAAGATAAACCTGACATATAAATTACATTTTGGGCTCACAGCAGGTAAACACTATCTTATCAAAACAAAAGGCCAACTCAATATTTCAACTGAACCGATATCATTCAAAAAGTGATTTACCCATTCCAACAAAAAGTCCACTACTGTATTGTATCTATTGTAATTTAGACCAAAATAGGCCAATTATTTAAGTTTATTGTTTAAAGTAAATAAGATGTTTAGCTTGCCATAGTATAAATGTTGTGGTGGCCCAGGCTGCAGCCGTCAGCTCAGTGAGCGGCTCAGTAGAATGGCCTGCATTATGTATATTGAGAAAACCAATGCCTCTTCAATATTACTCTAGTTTGTGACAAGAAGTGCAGTGGTTTCATTTTCGGACCAGTAAAAGGTCTGATTACATACCCTACCTTTTATGTTAAAATCCTTTTTGTATCAGAGGAGTAACAAAGCCTCACATTTGCAGTTCTCAAAATGATTTTCAGCACGAGGATCACAAAGAAGATTGGATTTGTAATATGTGTGAAGTGATAAATGAGGTTTGAATAGAGAGGGGCCTTATTGGTGGAGTTAACTCAGAAGAACATGGAGCTTCTCTTCTCTCAAAAGCACCTTTTTTTTTTTTTAACTACAGCTTTTTGGACAAAGTAAATGTAAATAAGGCACACTGTAGCTTATTTAAGGACAATCTTCAGTTGGAACGAGCAAAATTCAAGAAGCACAATCAATCAGGATGGAGAAGGCTGATGATATAAATCTCAATCCTGTAACGACAATGGCGAGGAAGATAATGAAGCCATAATATTCCTCATGTAATCAATAGGCCTATAGACAATATTTCAAAGTGCCATATGAGCCAGACGTATAGTGATTGGCCGAATAGAGAAATTAACCCCACGAAAGAAACAAACCTTTTTTTCTCAATACAATTATTTTGTTTTTCCTAAAGTAGCAGTATGTAATATTTGCATGTCAAGTCATCATTAAATGGCCCCAATATTTCAAAGGGCATGATTAAATCATGCTCTTTTCGAATACATCTTTAACTGATAACAGTAGTTCAGCCGAGATATTTGAATATCAAAATTAGTTTTACGACCCGTAAAAGTTGTCAAAAATTGTTGTCATTTCGATGTCCCACCCTCTGCCGTTTTGCCAGTCAGGGAGTCTGTGATCCGGGTTGCCAGAACTCCCCGCGGCTAGCAAATCTCACTGG